TGAAATAAGTAATGGGTCTTCCTCATCTTAGATACATTTTTTTACCAAATAGGTTTCATGCCAAACACGTTATGACACAGATTATTTTTTTAGTAAATATGGGGTATACAAACTATATATTTAAAATATTTCTTAATTAACTGCTTGTTTCAGTTTCAACACTTCACCTTCTTTTCTAAATAAAACCTAACATTTCCTTCATAAACTGTCTTCTTGTAATTTATTTTCTACGTTTCGTTTCAACACTTCGCCTTCTTTTCTAAAAATAGTGCTATCTGCCCCTGTAACATGGCTAGGCATGATAGTCGCGACTCGCGTGATAAAATCAATCAGATCTAATTCAAATAGCCAATAGCGCGCGCTTTTTTCAATTTTATCGCGCGCGTCGCGACTAATGTTGTAACTTGAAAAAAATGCTTTTTTCACATTTTTGAAAAAAAAAACATGAAAAAAACACAGCACCCTGTTTTTTCTAAATTTGGTTTTTTTTTTCAGAATAATTTCAGTACAGAGTACTAAAAAACCCAACCTCAAAAGTACGCGGAATTACGTCTATTTGCTAAGTTTCATTGAAATATCCCCTAGTTCGCCACTATACAGGACTTGATACCGGAGATAATAAAAATAGGTTCTCACTACGTCACTACTCAAAGTATATCGAGAGAAAAACGCCTTGAATTGGAGAAATAGCAAAATCAACTACATAATTGCTAAAAGTAATTGCTCCTAAGTTAAAGTTAGGCGCTATTTATAAAAATGAATCTTCATGCGTGAACAGCCACCCTTTGAGGTGGATGATTTTCTTCAAAATGAAATGGGACTACTATGGAAATACCCCCTTTCCAACAAAAAACGAATCATGAAAATCGGTTCACAAATACCGGCGTTATCGCGTAACATACATTCAAAAAAAAAACATACAGTCGAATTGAGAACCTCCTCCTTTTTTGAAGTCGGTTTAAAAGTAAACTGGAATAACTGAAATAAAATAAGACACTAACTTTTATTTTTCATACCGGAGACCGATCTAACCTAAACGGGAGGAAGAGGAAGGGTCGTGGGCTCAAGACGCACCGACTGATAATAGTAGTAATTTTACAATTCCGGACAAAGTGCTTCAAATCCTACCGAATAATTTTATATAAGCGGCTTGCTAATAATTCTATGTAAATGCTGCTATTTAAGGGATATATGCGACGTGGAAAAAATATTGATATTAGATAAATAAATAAGTAGTGTTTTTATCAGTAATCATCAAAGTAGCGATGCAACAGCAATCGATAGATTTAAAAAAAAAAAAGGTAAAATGTTAGATTCCCGCATTTTCCCCACATGGCGTCAATACCACAAAATGCCCAATCGAGTTGAAATACCCCGCAATTGGGGGAATTCGTCACAAATTGACAACACTGTGAGATGTTGCCCATTTATTTTGAGCAATTTATCCATGGAGAATAATATAACAACAAGAGGAAATGTAGTAAAAAAAATACAATTGTCATATTTTTATTTTCATACTTTTAGAAAAAAAACGTATTCCAGAAAAAAAAACGGTTGTTTTTTCTTTTGTTTTTTTCACCTCAGAAAGAAAAACGGGTTTTTAACAACACTAGTCGCGACCATCATGCATAGCCATGCTACGGGGGCTGATCTAGACAATGGGAAAAAATCCCATTAGCCAAACCAGCCTGACCATCAATCTGACCAACGGGAAACACTGAATATTTCTTCCTAAACTGTCTTCTTTTAACTTATTTTCTACTAGCTATACTAATAGTGTTTTTTTTCTTCATTTTAATGACTTATTCTGTAAAAATAAACTGTCATCACGTATTAAAATATTACCTACTTGTTAATTGCTTGCTCCTTTCAAACCCTTCGCATTTTCTAAAATGAAACCTAACAATTCCTTCCTAAACTGTCTTCTTGTAATTTATTTTCTACTAGCTATTCTAGTGTTCTTCTTCTTCTTCGTTTTGCTCAATGGCGGTTCCTTCTTTTTAAGATTTGTTACTTGTTTACTGTCTCTAAATGTGACAGTAAATTGTCATAACATCGCGTAAGGGGCTATTTTGTCAAATGACTATAATTTTCGATTATTACGATGTCTCAGTTCTAAAAGCAATAGAGACCGACGATGCCCATAGTAAACGTAAATAAAATTAATCTTTAAGGTTAGGTATTCCGTATCAACGTATTTTCACGTTTAGAGTACTCAACCTTGATATGGCGAATAAACAGTCGTTAGATGCCAGTCATACACATCGTCCTTCGCTATACATATTGTGTACCATAGATTAGTAATAAAGCTATCTTTGTTACTAAAATTGAACAAAAAAATTGTTACACAGGACACTGCCTCATGTATAATAGGTAATTAAATTAAAAAAAGGATATCATCGCTCTAAACTCATTGTTAAATACAATCTACAATTCCTGTAAAATGTCCTTCAGTTATATAATATATAAATAAATTACAATTTTCTCGAAGTGGTTACAAATAGATTTTATTGAACATCATGATGAAGTAACATACTTTTAGTCATTTCTTTTTTGTGAAATTACCTACTTAGTTAGTAGTGGAAATGAAATGCACAGTGATGGTGTGGTAGGGAAGAGTAGAAAAAAAATCCACTTGTCCCCCCAGGGGGGAAAGCTGGTAGGGGCTACTAGAATAGGCCATTTATACGTCCCAAAAACTGGTCTCCTCTCAGGCGAGGGTTTACGCTATAGTCAGCCACGCTGGCTCAATGCGGGTTGGGGACTTCACACGTTTTCAGAGTGTTGTGAACCTTCTTCGACGTGCAGGTTTCATCACTATGTTTTCCTTCACCGAAAAACTCATTGTAAATTTCAAATTAAATTTCGCAAATACATTCAGAAACTCCGAGATACGAGCCCAGATTCAAAGCTACGGCCTCTGTTTGAAAGGCGGTAGGTCAAACCATTAGGCTACCACGGCACTCCACTATTTTGTTTATAATCTAAATGCAAGGATTGAAAACAAAGAAAAAATGGATTTCTTTTTGTGTGTTCAATCCTTGTATTAATATTTACAATTCGTAGATCTTTTTTGTTTATAGTATGCATGAACTACCTACTATTAGATCAATTAGACGTATCGCAGAATAAAATCAAGTAAACAGTACAAAAGTCATTCATCGAGATCGAGAAACGCAACACGTTGTTCTCGAATGAGTTTGACAAAGCTTCCCTTATCAGTGACGCGGACAGCGTAAACAACTAAAGCTATTTATAAAGGTCTATAAGTAGCTTGATCAGTAGTCTTTCTCGGACGTCTTGAAAACAGTGTCCTCACTACTCTTTCCTTTATCTCAAGACAGATAACAGAGATAGTTTACGACTTGAAAATTAGCGTACTCAAGAATACACAAGATAAAGGTCAATTGAAAGATCTATATTATAATTAGTCATAGTAATTGTGAACCCTCACACGTTTAGAAAATAATATGTTTCAGAATTAAACTAATTGATATACAGCCAAATGAGCTATTCCTTTAAATTTGATTAATTTACTATCTAATGACAATTAATGCCAGTGCATTAATACGTGCTAAATTAAAAGTACTAAATAAATTAAAACAGGACTGTGGCCTTTAAAACAATGAAACAGATTCTTATTTAATAACCGAAGTAAAAACGAAATGATGCATAAGGGAGTCACCACACTTTTAACGCAGAATCGCATTAAGCCGGTCAGAAAAAGCTTTATTTCCATGAACGTAAGAGCGAAAAAGATGTCGCGCGTTTCGCATCGGGTCATCGGTTCGTACGAACGCGGCTCGACACAGGTCGGCAACGAGTCTGCGTGCGTACGCATGCCGACATCGCGCAACGGCTACTCCTAGTTTAGAAACAACGGCGGTGCGCGAACGGCCGCGCCAACGACGTTTTACCACACTTGTAGCATTAAGATGATTCGAATGATTCATTCGGGCGTTCACGCTACCGTTAGTTCGGGCGTCACCGCCGCCGGTCAGCCGTCATCGGCTGCGTATGGACGTTATCAGAAATTCCTGTGACCTGTGCCACATAGTAAGAGCCGATGCGATACGTACAGTGTCCTTTTCGCTTTTAATAATACAGGGACATAAAGATTTTTCTGATAGGTCTAATGCGATTCCGTGTCAATAAGTGTGAAGACTCCCTTATACTTTACCACCTAGTACTACTATTTATTATCTAAAAATGTAGTCCTTAAATAACGTTTACTTAGGTAATGAAACTATTTTTCCGGATTTAAATCGCGTATATTTGTTTTTTTCAAACAACTTACGTTTCGGCCCATTTACAGATCCCATGGTCACGGTTTACCTGTAAAGGGTTCGACACGTTGATTTGTTTGAAGAAACAAATATACGCGATTTAAATCCGGAAAAATAGTTTCATTTCCTATATGTAACAATCGCGAAAACCTAAGAACTCGCTGTTTACTTAGGTATTTGAATGCAATAAGTCCAAGGTCCAATAATGACAATTCTTAGTTTTCACTGTACACCTACTTCATACTATTATAACATAGTGATGGACACTGTTAATTATAATATGAAAGTCAGACTATATTGAATTTATATTGGATACTTATTTACATGCGCTACAAGTGTTAAAATAATATGTAGATAACAACTTTGAGGAAATATAATTACAAAAGCAATTTTATAAAGAAAGAAATAAAGATAGCATAATTAAAAAGTTATTACAGATATTTATAATTGTGGCCAAAAGCTGACAATTTAACTTTATCCCTGAAATGATGGCATCTAAGACTGCTAACAGATTGACTGCACTTTTGCAATTAATGCGTGAAGTAGTCGAGACCTCTACTTAATGAAGTCGAGTTCGACTTCATGCAGTTAATGCGTGAAGTCGTTATCCGAGAATTCGACTACATGAAGTCGCAATGCATGTTGTTCACGCATTAACTGCAAACACGCAGTCAATCTGTTAGCAGCCTGAAACTTTTGACATCGATATGTTCGTGTTGTTGTCAGTAGAAAATAGTTCTTTGTAACTTCGCAACATGGCGAAGTTCGAAATGTAATTTTTAACCTCTTGATTATGTTATGAGTTAACTGAGATTTATATAATCATTCAATTTTACGCGTACTGGACAAACTTTTAGCCAAGCCATCAAGGGTGTCGTTTTTATATGAAAAATTCATTGTTTTTAAATAATGACAGTAACGTTTGTGTCTTTTCGATACAGTATCAGTCTTCGTTTTTTCGATTCTACATATAGCGCGGCAGGACGACCAATAATCTAAAGCTAGAGCTCTTCTATCCAAAGAAGCAGATGGATGGAGGATGTTGGTCAGGCTGTTGTGGCGAGCGACTACCTGGTCCTTTTGCCTGAAATTAAGATATTGGTAATATTAAAATGTGTGACGTCATATTTTGATTATTATTACCACCTTATGTAAGTAAGAAACGACTCGAGGAAAAAATTACTACACAGGCTACTTATTCTCATACAGGCGATTACTCCACCTACCTACCTGGTTCTTAAATAAGAAGAAAATTCTCTGGAATTTCAACCTTCACCATTACTGGAAGTGCCACCTCGCCTGCCAGGTTTATTTTAATATCCTTTTACAAAAAGCCAATTTCGAGTAGACATCCATCTTGTGCCTGATTGGTCATTGAAGGGAGCAATCCTAGATAGTTCAATCGGGCGACTGTACCAGATCAGTCTTCTAGTTTATTTAATTCATCTAGTTCCTTAGTTCGATTTGTTCCTTCTGGGACATTGAACGAACGCTCCAAACTAGTTATTTTATTCACTTGATCTACTACGAACTAGTAGGTATTGTGGGGTCAATAGTACACTGTACTAAATATTTAAAAATACGATTTTTATGGAATCGGCACTTTTACAAAACAATAACGGAATGACGTATATATTAGTCAGAATAGTGTAGTTAAAAATCAATATTTTACTGTCTCCGTGGCCGAACGGTTACCATGCTGAACTGCCACGCAGAGGTGCTGGGTTCGATTCCCGGGCCGAGAGAAATACTTGTATGGCCTACATTTATTTCTTTCAGGAGTTTGGATGTAATTTGTGGTTGTCTATGTGTGTGTCCATGGCACCCGCGATACAGGGTTTCCCTAGTGCAGGGCTATGGGTGTGTACGCGTTATTGTGATAATATTTACAAATATTACAACGATTTCATACACACGTGAGTTGATATTATACATACAAATACGTACCAAAAACATAAGCATTTACTTTTTTACAAACTTACACATACAGTGTGTTGATTTGCATTCTGGCCATATTTAAGAAATTAATGATAGAATTAATGCTAAATCATCTAAAAATATTTTAAAACAATATTCTGGCAAATTGTATCTAATAAATTTATCGATCGTTTATTTACCTATTTTTTTAATTATGATTATGTACTAGTATTGTTATAATTTACTAATTAGTTACAATAATTAGAAAAGTTGACAGATAGAAGTTTTTTTGTATCTCAGATTTGGCACTTATCAATTTTAGGATACATGAAAGTATTGCTAGAAGTACCTATTCGCACGTGAGTTTCGTTTTAACTTTCCACGTTTGACTTCACAATTCTAAACGCAGAGACGATTTATGCGCGCAAAAAAAAGTGTTGCCAGACTTTTGCGAAGTTAATTCGCCAATTTATGTGTGTTAAGTAAGATATTCGTCCAAAGCATTGGGGAATATGAGCTCTCTTATTTACTCCATTCCCCACAAAATCCCCAATCAAATTTGTAATTCCCCAGACATTTAATTAAGTAGCCTAAAATCGCCTTTTCCTATTTCTAACATAGCCTAAATATCGCGCCGAGTCGCCGATCACTTTTAGTCGCCGTGCGACCCCTCGAAGTAGCCTAAATGGCGAAAAATCGCCCAATCTGGCAACACTGTTCTTCGACACTCGTAATCTCCTCCGCGTAAACTAAACGTTTAACATCATGCCATAAGAATAGTCACACACTTACAACTGATGGTAATGCAGGTTCTGGTGAACCTGGTAGCAGTTCTTGTTTGCACAAACTCTTGTTTACGTACTAAACCACGTGGCATTTCGTGAGAGACTAGCTCATAGATCACTAGAATTGCGGCGAGTTCGACCATCCCACCTTTAGCTAGTGCGCTCGCTTACAGGCGCGTGCGCTCGCTTACAGGCGCGTGCGCTTCGTTTTAGAAAGAAAGAGATATCAATACTTTGTCGGTTCCTCCGGCTGCGCTAAAATTTAGTAGCACGTACCGTGCAAGTCATTGACCTTTGGATCAAGCAGGATCAAGTGATTGCGAATCGATGTTTACCGCAATTAAATAAAAAATAAGAATTTGGGAAATTTTTTTTCGATTAATTTTTTAGTGATTTGGGTTCAGTTTCAGATATAGAATGACCTCTGTAAATATGGGGAGAATGCAAATCAACAGATGTAGATACATGTAGGGGACTTAAAACGTTGTAAAAATGTTGTAAAAAATTTTAACATATCTACAAAGCAATAAATGTTTATTTTACCTTTGAGCTGCCATATCTGGAAATTGTATATCAATGTCCTTCTCCAAACCAAAAACTTTTTGAGCCTCCAAAACCGAAGTTAATGTCAGATGATGCATAATTTCATTGTGAATTTCTTTACTTCTGCTGTAGCAGTTAGAGTTTTCATTCTCAGATACACTATCGCTCTCAGAATTGTACCACGGTAGAGAACTTATATTACTATTTGCATCTGGTGATAGTTGACTGAAATAATCCGACACTGACAGGGTATCTACAATATCAGCAATAGCCTTTAATTCAGATGACTGTTTCTGTTTTTGTTTAGAGCAATCCTCTACTTGAGGAAGGTTTATGTTAGAAGAATTATTAGTAAGTTGTGGAACATTCCACCATATATCCATTAACTTCAATGAATAAGCTGAGTGTAAAAAGCTTGACTGTTGCAGTACAAAACTTTTCCATATTTCATTTTCAAGACCAATTGTGAATTTAGGGTTCACACTTCTGATCTCAGCCCCATCGCTATCAGTCCAAGACGTACATGAATTTTCATCCTCAAGACTTGGCTTTATGTCGCTATTCTGAGACATGGCTTCATCAATTGCCGACTCTTGAGTAGTCATGTAAAATTGCAAATTGTTTATGGTTTTTCTTATATCCCCCTTGAAATAATCTAAAAATTTAGCTCCTAGACCTGGCCAGCATGTTCCACTATCTGCCAAACATAATAAGTCTAACCATGTTCCAAGCATTCTTGGTGAAAGTGGACGCATTTTGATCACTTTCCCATATTGCAAAAACCTTTGCAAATGTGGACAAGATAAAGACGCCGTCACTAACACAACTGGACGTTTAGAACTTTGAACAAGTTGAGCGATTGCGGACGAGAACCCATCATCTTGGTCAAACACTATATCAGCATCGTCAATAAGAATCAGAGACATTGCAGTTCTTCCCACCTCTTGGTTTGTACTTTGCTGACTCAGATTTTCTTTCTTGTGAATAGAATTCGGTTTTTCGTTAGATAACTTCTTTGGTCTACCTTTTCTTTTATATGTTTTTAAAAGTAATGGTTCAACAACTTCTTGTGACTTCTGCGATTTATCTCTATTAACTTTGTGAGACTGTGTTGCTTCTTGTAAGTCCTGTAACATCATTTTACCGGTTCGTTTACTGCTTGCATTTACTTCAATAACTTTCATAGCTAGTTCTGCAGCAACAGAATAAACACTACACGTTTTACCGCTACCTGGTGGACCAGTCAATATCAGCAGATTCTTTGCTGTTTTCATGCTATCTTTACTATCTGTATCTGAATCATAGAAATCTGATGAATCGGAGCCAAGAGTGTCCTTAACTCTTACATGATTTTCAGTCCAAGATTGCAGCCATTTTTTTAATTCTCTAATACTTTCGACATTCCCTATTAATTGTTTTGTAGTCATTGGTTTGTATTTAACAGTCCAGTTTAAATGTTCAGGATCATTTACAATTTCTGATGAACCATTTACAACTTCGACGCTGCTTTCAAAATCCGTGCAAATCTCATTAAGTTCCCCTTTACTCACACCTTTTAACATCCTATAAGTGCGATAAACAGGAAACTTAGGGTAATACTCTTTGAAGCTTTTTAAAACTGCTGATACACTATTTTTTTTCACCTCCATAAAACTTTTCTGTTTTTTTTCTGATGATTTTATAAGGCGATAAAATAATCTCGAGTCATCTACAGTTAGTTCTTCATTCTGGTCATCATCAAATTTACTGTAAGAAGCGTTAAATTTATTTGATTCATACGTTTTAATTAAGTCTATCTGTTGCACATGTACAACTTTAGGAAAACAATTACTGCTTTCTAAACTTGTGTTCTTTTGTTGAACAATTATTTTTTTTAACTGATCAGGCACTCCACTGTATAAAAATTTATGTCTAGCTTCCAATTGTTCTTGATTTAGCAGCAGTTTTGTGGAAAAAATTGGCGCTAATTTGGTAGAATGATTTTGTTTACTTTTCACATGCACTTTTTTAGATTTTGCTAGAACCTGTTTGGGTTGTTCATCACAAAATATAACATCACTTTGAACTACAGTTTTTACTTTACTTTCAAGATGTCGTTTTTTTTTTGGAGTAAAAACACACAATTCTTCGTCAGAACTATTCAACTGTACATCATCTATGTACTTGACAGGCCTTCTTACATGACGCTTAGGTCTTCCTTCTTCTAACTTTGATTGTTCACCATTTCTAATTTCTTTATTTTCAGGCATTTCTTTGATTGAAAGATCTTTGCGTTTTCGTTTCCTTCTTTCAGTAACATTATTCTCTTTCTGTTTAATGTTATTTTCTGTGCCCCCATTGATACAAGATTTATTTTTATTATGTTGTTTTAAGTCTTCACTAGTTCCGTCTTTGTTTAAACTCAGTTTTCTATTTTTTTGTTTCCTCTTAGTTTTAGAACTCAATTTTACTTTTAAAATTGGAGATTTATTATTTCCAGGATCAATATCAACAATAATAGGTTCTGGTTCTTTTTCAACTTTCTTAAAATAGCACAGCATATTTTCCTTCTTTTTTAGAGATGGGGAGAGTTTTTTCAAAAATTCCTCATCCTCTTTTGATATAGGTTTTTTGTCAGGGTTTATGTTTATAGGGTCTTTCAGAACACTATTGAAAATATTAAACAAAAGTATTGCTTTAGAAGGCTTATCACCACCATTAAAGACAGTAGGTTGGTTATTGACATTATCATCATGTGGTTTGGATTTTTTGACAATTTTTTTTGATGACTTTGACTTAATTTCTTGATCATTAGGTGTCTGTTTATTTTTATTTGTTATCATCTCTTTTAACCGATCTGCTCTTTTCTGCATTTTTCTTTGAATACACTTTTCCTGAAAATCTTCCATTTCTATTTTCTTTAGAGCTCCTTTTGCTTCAGCCATTTTTTGTAGAACTAAATTTCTTTTAGCTTTCAGAATCTTCTTGTCAGTTATTTCTTGTAAGTCTGAAGGATCTACGTTTTTCTCTTTTCCAGGAGAATTACCACCCATGCTTTTGTTTCTTGAATCCATCATTAATTTAAAAGCATTTGTTTTCTTTTGCTCCTGACTTTCAGTTACAGGAGACACACTAGCTATTTCTACATTCTTACGAACATCAACTATTTGTGAAACAGTATTTAGTTTCTCAACCTTTGCTTTATGTTTTCGGCGAGCCATTTTAAAAAGATAATTTTTTGGTCTGAATCCTTCAATTTTAAAGTCTAATTTATTGCAGTTTCTTTTTTCAGGTGATTTTATTAAGAGACTACTATGAAATACTTCAGAAACATCTAGTACATCTTGGTCTTCCAAGCCATCTTTTCTTAATTTGTATTTCTTCAGTTTTTTTCTCAAAACCTTGCACCTAGATCTATATTTCAGTAAATTCTTGTGTCTCAAAACATACTTATTACGAGTATGACATATACTGCTGTCGTAAGACGTATTTACATCTAAAGTACTGGTGTCGATATTGACTTCAGCTGCAGTACTATCAGACAAAGTTGACATCACTTTCCTGAATAAAAGAAAAAATGCTCACATTATTTTCACAGCATGTTTTTAAAGTTCAAGTGACAATTTTTACCCAAATGTCAAGTTTGTCATAAATTGACATTTGGGTAAACTTTCAAGTAATTACCTTGTAAGGTTTCTAATTCTGATGCCAAAATTATGTCCATGTTAAAAAAACAATAGTTCAAATATAGAACGTCACTGTTGAAGTACATTCTGCACCGAAAGATATGTGACGCCCTAAAGACGCTTTGCTTTTTAACAAATATATGTATGTTAATAAGTGGACTTTAGGAACTCTTAAAACCGATTAGATATATAATGTGTACACATTAAAATTTGTATGCTTTACTTAAACCAGTATACAAATTTGAACTATTCATATTAAGACCACCATTGTCAAGCAATTTAAGAATCGCTTTGCAAATGGCAGTAGGTCATGGTTTGAATCACAGCTAATTTTTTACCCCTTTTACCTCTGTAAGGAGTATCTTAGAATGTTAAATTCTCAATGTGTTTAACCCACATGCACTATGTGAATGAAATAAAGGTGAATTTATTTATAATTTTAATGGCACTGTTAAGTGAGACATACATGAAAGAAGAAAGAAAGTTTGAAAATAACTCAAAACTGAATATGTAAGTGATTATGCATTGTTAAGTACACTTAACAATCCATAAAAATAGAGGACACAATGGCATGTATAGTGCGGAGTGGTTTAGTGACTTATTAATCTATCCATGACTGCCACACATTACTAATAATATTCACCCACTGACATCTACTTGATGATTTGCCTTGTTTGGGACCAAATCATCAATAACTTGCAGTCCATACACCATACCATTCTATCAACTCACATTGTTGTTAAATAACGAAATGTTGTATTGGCTTTGAATTAAGTTGGTAATCATTAATAAAAACATAATAACATATATGCCAATAGAAATTCCTTTAAAATTATTTTACCAGTCAGAGTAGGGTATCAGATTCTTAAGGATCAAAGTGTACAAAGTAATAAAAAAATATGCAGATGGTTATAACTCATTATTTAGGAAAATGTGATTTTCAACCCATCACTAGTATAACATCATTACAAAAATAATAATAATAATAATGCAACACACTCATAGCCTCACACTAGGGAAACCCTGTATCGTGGGTGCTATGGGCACACACCTAGAACACACAAATTACACCCAAACTCATGAGAAATAAATGTAGGCCATACACATATTTCTCCTGGCCTGGGAATCGAACCCAGGAGCTTTGGGTGGCAGTTCAGCATGGCAACTGTTCGGCCGTGGAGGCAGTTAGGCTACAAGATATTTAACATGTGAAATTCGATAATCACATTTTCCTAAACAATGACTTATGACTTATACAATATTGATAACTGCAATGCAAACAGGCATTGCAGGTATCAATATTGTAATAATTTGAAAGCAAGAGGTCATCAAGTCATTATCATTTTTTAATACTGTACATAATTTTGTAGTGAATCCAAAAATAATTTTATTTGCCAAAACTGACACTGACCCAAACTTAACAGCTGCTATTGAAGGAAATAATAATAATTAATCATTGAAAAATTACTGTAATAATACTTTTCACTAGCTTTAAGGGTTTAACAATAAAAATTACATTCACCCAATGCCTTAAATTTCAAAATGTCCATAGCTTGGACTTGGGGAAAAGTAGTATGTGGCTCAATGATGGACATAGTTATAAATAAATACAAAATTTGTCTTTGCCTAAACGGTTTTCGTGAAAGGAAATTTTAAAAAGAATAATTCCCTGAAAATGTTTCATATTTTATAATAATTACAACGGTATGACATTGGGACACTAACTAGTCCAACTCAAAACCATTATAAAGGTTAGAAAAAAAAACAAAATACAAACCATACATAGTCAATCCAAACAAACACGGCAGTGAAAATTACGATTGCTTAATTAGTGTATACGTTTGCCTCTTTCGTGATTAGTCATCAATAACTCAGCAGTCATAAAATAAACACTATTTATAGTGTAATTATTTGATCTCCGTTAGGTTTCTAATTTTTGAGAAAATTGGCGGCATAACCAACGCATTTCGTAACTTAAATCTTTCACTGTCAACTGTAATTCATTGACTGTCACTGTCAATGTCAAAATCATCTGACAATTTTGTTTCTATTTCGTCTATGTTTTTATAAATACCACCTTCGTTATAAAGCAAGATAATTTTTTTCCACGACTCCATGCTTAGAGGATTCTAAGCATGGACGTCCTCTAAGGCAAGATCTACCGAAAATCAATATTTTTTTCGTTCTGGAATTTCAGGCCGTCCTCAAAAAAGAAAAAAATCCTGAAATATTTTCATGGAATTTTGGCCGTCTTAAAAAAAATATTGTCTGTGGTTTCCTTCTCGGTCTTCGAGAGATCAGAGTGTCACTGAAAATTTTACGAAAATCGTTTAAATAATGGCATCGAAAGGCTTAGCACAGCCTCTAATTCGATATATTACGGTAAGTACGAACTGTAGTATGCAAAATATATGTACAATATCTTTCTTAAAAGTTCCGGGGCTTAGTGGCTGTCAAAGCCCTGTTATGTAAAAGATTTCTTGAGCTTCCTATGTACTCCCAGTCATTTGATCAAGACAAATATTTCAGATCGATTGCACTAAGTTTTCCTACCTATGAACGTTTCATACTAGATGATGATGATAGTGATGACTAAGCAAAACGACCTAATATTCGTTCCCATGTCAACTTAGCATTTATGGTGGTTTTTTAGAAAAAGAGCTATGGAACGGCTGTAACGCCAGCGTTAAAGGAGGCTAGGATTCAATGTACAGTGCTACCCAGTTGCACCTTTGTTGCTGCTCTAGATAATGGATCCCCAGTTACAAGAATCACCGTCGCTTTCAAGTAAGAACAGATTTTTTATGTATTGTACGAGTTTCAGACAGACAATCTACCTCTCGGATAACGGCTATTGCTGTTGATGCATTACTCCATGTTATTAGAAACGCCAGTTTAGTAAATTTAAACTGCAATATCAAAATATACTATGATATACAAACAAACAGGCTATATAAAGAACATTCACACAACACAAACAATATATTGAAGAGATATAATAAAAAATTGTTACAAGAACAATAACTTCCATGTTTTCATGTAATGACCTTTAAACCCACTTAAATTTTCAGGGCTGGGTCCCGTTATGAGCCAGTGACTGAGCCCGGAATCTCTCACGTGTTGCGGGCTGCAGCCGGGCTGACCACTGCGCACTGCAGCCAATTCCTCACTGCTCGTCAACTTGCACAGATTGGAGCCAATGTCACTGCATCTGGTGATCGGGAATTCTTGTACTACACTCTTGAAGTAAGTATTGTGTTACTTGTATAATGTTACCCAACCATATATAGACCGAATTGTATATGTAAAATATTATATATGTGGCTTGTGAAATATAATAATATATGCCTAAACCAGGCAAATGTTAGATAATATGACTATCTTGTGCACACAAATAAAATGCTTACCAACAGACAAAATATGTATTAACTAATAATTTTATTTTGTGTTAAATGGAAAGGAGTAATATTTTTTTGACTTTATAAGTACATGTTAAATGTAAATTGCGTGTTCCTATAGCTTAATAATTTATTTTCGGTATTATTTCTTATAACTTTCACAAATTATATAATTAATACAATTGCACTGTCATATACTAGATACCTCGAATTAACACTACATCAACTTTATTCTTTGGTGATTATCTGTTATCTTTGTAAGCAAGTACATAAATATCTGTAATACTTAGTAAATAAATATGGCTAAGATTATGCTCCCTGAAATTTGTGAAAAAAATAAATGACCAAAATGTAGATATCTATAATTGACTTTGAACTGTGTCTTAACCAAATGTTGCCTTTTGATATTATTTTTTCTGTGTAATCTGTTGGTGTTCCAAATAAATAAATACTAAATAGTAGTAGTTGTAACATTAAATGAAAAAAAAAAAATACTAAAGAATCTTATTAGCAAATGTATATAATAAAAAGCAAATAATGTACAGTAGTTACTTGATTGGTTAGTTTTGATCATAGTGAAAAGTAATTAGTTTATAAAATAAAAAATAATAACAAATTTATACATTGTTAGCGTACAAATGGCAGCATATCAAGCTACACAAAAGAATCTTATTACCAAATGAATATAATAAAAAGCAAATAATGTAAAATGGTTACTTGATTGGTTAGTTTTGGTCATAGGAAATGTAATTTAAGTTTATAAAACTAGAAATAATAGCAAATTTATACATTGTTAGCTTATGTACACACGCCAGCACATCAAGCTACAAATTGACGTGTCTTGTTCCATTGCACTGGAGGCGATTTTCGAACAAAAATGTATAGTCTGGCGTGCCGTCGTCCATACAAATGGCGGCATATCAAGCTACACATGACGGTTCACAGTCCATCCTGGAGGCGATATTCGAGCAAAAGTGTATAGCTTGATGTGTTGTTGGCTCACAAATCATATGGTAATAAAAGTTTATAATAAAATACCTCTCACAATATATGGAAACAAAACATGTTTAGAAAAAATGTAAAAGATTCTTACTGTCATACAAAACTATTTTTATAGTTTACAGGAGTTTTTTTTATTATAAATTGATAATATATATAAATAGATAGTGGGCTTATTAAAGTACAGGATTTTTTTGTATATAATAATAATCAATAAATAATAAGGCTAAAAAAACAGTCTACTACAGTCAGTCTACAGTCTTATTGACAGTCACAATCAATACTATTTATTAATTTATAATATCTGTTGATTCCTATGAAAAATGAGTAATAAAATTATAGACTCACTATAATAATAACTTATAATTAGTATGCTTTGTTTTCTGCATTTCAATTAGAGTTATGAACTATTTAGGTAAAGGCCACTTCCAATATCGTCCATATTTAGTCACATTAAGACTGTATTATATGTTATAATGACATGTTATTCTTTCTGTTTTAGACTACTGGTGACCACTTGGGAGAGGCCATGGATTACTTTAACAACATGATCTCTGGGCAAGAGTTCAGACCCTGGGAATTATCCGACATGGCACCCAAACTGCGTTACGATATTGCATCCTTGTCTCCTCAGGTAAAATTCTATATATATTTTTTTCATGAAGATGAAATAAAAATATCTACAATTATCATGATCGGAATTGAGAAAGTTAATTTACCTAGTATGAACATTTTCTTAGTATGGACATATCCATTTTGTCATCATTGCATATAAAATTTCTTTTTGTGTTCTAAACATGCCAAAATATTGATCATCTCACGTTTACTTTTAAATGGCTAAAGTATTTATTTACACATACATAACTACAATATTATTATTATTAATAACAAAGATCAACACTTAGAAAAATTCATTCCATGTGTCTGAATTCGAACCAGCACCCTTAAGCAATCCCTACCAGATGCTCTGCCAATTAAGCCACGGTACGAACCAGCAGACCGTAAGAATTTTTGTATATGCTTGCAGATTGTTCGATCATCAGCAGCAATATTAATAAAAATGCAAGAATTCTCATAAATAAACTTGATTTATTTGGCTCCTAAACTGGTTCTGTGACAATCTGTTCTACGACGGAAATATTCACATCTGCCTAACCAAACGTTTTATAAAACCACTATAACAAAGAGTTTTAATGTCAAATTACTATCCAACACAGATCTTTGTTTTTGGTTTTTGACGACTTTTTGCCGTAGCGCCATCTGTGAACGTAATTTATTTCTTCACTCAGAGAGGTAACTTTACGGCTAACATCACATTAAAAATTACAATATTATTTTTTGAGACAATAAATTGTAGCAAATACTTAATGGGAATTTTTTTTTTTTATAATTTGTCGCCAATGCACAGTGTTTTTTGTTTTTACCAAAAGACAGCACCGTTAATAAAAGAATCAGAGAAAACGTTTCATTCTGAATGCACGAGTAAAACTCCCATGAGTCTCGCTACAATAGTTTTGGAGAAAACCTCAGCCAAAGTTCATGTCCCGTATTTGGTATTTTTTTTAAATAAAATTCTAGTGACCAAATCATTGCGGCTAAGTAATTCTTTAGATTGTTTTTTGAAAGCCTTACTTGTAGGCGTATTATTACAAACGTTTTTTGGCCGCGCTGCCACGTATAGGTTGCGAGTAAATTGCCATTTAGTCTTTTTTTATTTATATTTTTTTCCGGCTATAGTATGTGCTAGTTGGATTGGCACAGTGTTGGGCGTTAATTAATTAAATTTCAATCAATAATTCAATCAGATTAAAAAATCAATACAATTGAAATCAATTGCGACGCGTCGCAATTGATTTAATAACTAACCGGGGCCCCAACCGGGGCCCCAACCGGGCCCCCCAACCGGGCCCCCCAACCGGCCCCCTAACCGGGCCCCCCAACCGGCCCCCTAACCGGGCCCCCAACCGGCCCCCTAACCGGGCCCCCAACCGCGACCCCCAACCGGGGCCCCCAGCCGCGACCCCCAACCGGGCCCCCAACCGGCCCCCTAACCTGCCCCCAGCAGGCCCCCACAACCAACGCCCTAACTCACCCCCATATGCCCTATAAATTTATCATAATTGTCAGTTTTAATTGTTAATTGTTAATCAAAAACATTGAAAAGATTGAAAATTGATTAATTGTTAATTGTAGATATTTGCGATTAACGATTGATCAATTGTTAGTTGCGAGAACCCCAATTAACAATTGATTAATTGTTAATTGCGGTTCTCGCAACTAACAATTGATCAATCGTTAATTGCTGTTTCGCAATTGACAATTAATCAATTGTCAATCTTTAATTGCCAGAACAATTAAATTTTGCCCAACACTGGATTGGCAACTTGCTTTAAAACCTAGCTGCACATGAAGACTAATTCCACAAAAAAAATCGAACTCTGTGGAACTTCCGAAATAATAATTTTTAAAGTTTTCGGGACATTACAATCTTCGAGACATCACCGGGATTTCGAAGCTATGATTTTTATTGAATGATAGGCAAGCTTACCTAACTATTTACACTATGTTAAATATTTAAATATTACCCCATTTTTAAGTGTTTTGTTACCAACTCCTATGGGTGAATGCCCGATTTTTTTTATTTCATTTAATTCTAATGCCATCACTAATATATTTTATTCAACTTTTTTTATTTAACATAAGCTATTTTAAGTAATGATTTGTCTGTTGATAGACAATATGAAGGCATCCTTATTAAATTGCTAAAACCTTGCAAGTACAAATTGACCAAATAATTTACAATTTATATTACATTACAATTGTATCGTTAGACAGAGAGAGATATCAGCAAAACAATCCAAATGTGCGAGTGAGACAGTTATAGCTACAGGTGTGTAGTGACTTACAACCCAAAACGTGCGATTTTTGGAAATGTTCTTATTCGCGCTGTGTTTGTCATGCGTTTGGGTGTTATTTTGCGGTTGTCTCTATTTTCTAACGACTTAGCTATTCAACAACGATTTCTGATTTGCATTGTGATCTGGGCTGTGATTTTATTTTGAACTGCGACTTGTACTGCAAATTCATTTTATTTGCACAGTAAGAAGGATTTTTTTTTATATTTTAATTGTTTTTCATGTGTACACAGACTGAATCAACTTTTTGTTGTAAATAATATATTTGCTAATGAGGTGAAATTATTTTTTAAAGTCATAGATTACATTTTGTTTCTTTAACATTAAAGTCTAAATAATAATAATAATAATAATATACATATATGTGTTTTTATTTAGACAATCAACAATTCTTTTAAAGGTTAAAAGCTGAATTTGTCGTTAGAAAATCTTCTTAAAATTAGGATTCGTAAATAGTGGTTCTTTAAATTCTCGTGTAACTAATAAATTTCGTGATTTTGTAGAAAATATTGTTTTGAAGATGTACCACAAGAAGTAACTATTAGCTTTTACCACATACAGTGTTTATAGAGAATATTAAAACTTAAAATAACAAATAGTTTATTCACATAGATATTTAACGCTCGACCCATCATTGTTATCAAAATTATTAGATGTTTACTTTGTTCCGCAAGTCAAAAACAGCTTCACGTGGCCTTTTTTATACTAAGGAGCCATGAAAGACTAAATTTGTTGTAAATAGCTACTTGAATGCCGTTAGTTATTGGATATGCTGCAGTTGAACACTCCATTTAGCTTGCTCAGAAAGAGCTCTCATATTACCTACTTTTCACCATACCATGTTCCAAAATTAACGTCGGTCATTTCGCTGTTTTGTCTTTTGTTGGATGTTTGTTTTTTGTTGGATGATTAAATAATCATCCATTTGTATATATTTTTTCATTTTAATAGGTGCGGGCCGTGGACCTGTTGCATAAGGCGGCCTTCCGCCGTGGTTTGGGTAATTCGCTGTACTGTTCACCTAAAAGGATTGGCAGTTACAGTTCAGAATCCTTGCAACATTACGCATCCTCTTCTCTCACGCCAAACCGATGCGCTATTACTGTCGTCGGGGACTGCCAGGTTTGTAGGTTAAATGTATTTTTTTGTTTATTTACAAAACAGCATAATAGCATAGTGAAGATACAAACAAAACAGCATGTGTGAAATTATTTTTGGACTTTTTGTCTTGTCAAGTAGCAAAAATAATTTGTAATAATGTTCATAGGATAAGGCAGTGCTCCTTTCTCAAGCGTTGAGACTACCTTCTAGTGGTGCTGAGGCTTGTACTGAAAAGACTCAGTACTATGGAGGAGAACATAGGTAATAAAATTTTTACTGTAACAGTCGTGTTCCTTGACTTTATTGACATCGTATTTATTTTGAGGAATTTCGGTAATAATGACGCACTCATATTTTTCATCAAAGGAGAATGCCCACGGCCAGTACTCTTAAAAAAGGTGTTGTGTCTCAATCATTTGAAAACCAAAAATCAAACAAAAATATTTCATGTCTTTGAGCTTTTCTACTAAAAGATTCCTTTCCGGGTTATTATTTTATAAATAATAAACAATGTAACTTCCGTTTTACAATTCAAATCATTTCTGTCATTAACGCTAGTGTTGCGACAAAGCGAAGGCGTCTTTAACCGATAGATTATGTATTATCTAAAATAGTTTCTTTATTGTTTGTCTGACGTTATTAAAAGACGGATATTTGAAAACGAGTTAATAAATTATTGAGGTACCTATTCGTATAATTCCGGGCAAACATCTTGAGTAATGACCTTGAAAGCGCAGGAATACATTTTGGGTCTCTTTGGAGGTATGAGCGGCGCGCACGAACTACGGGAGGTATCGTATCTAGCACTTTATTGATAGACTAGTAGACCCTTGCCTCCCGTACTGCGTTATCATCACACTGAATCCCTAAGAATGTCATTCACGGGTGAGTGTTTATCACTCGTTTTGTTTTTTTTTTACTTAAAATCAGCAATAAAATACAAAAATATCAGAGTTATTTTGAGTAACTCAACAATACGCTTTATTTTTGTACGTAAGTATACATGCGCACCACTACGCCTCCCAATACTCAAGAAGTTTGCCACAATCTATATAATCAATCATAAAAACAAGGAAATGTTATTCATTAACTTTAAACAATTTTTAAAGAAATCGATTATGTACAGATTAGGTACATCCCTTTAGCTGTCACTCAACTGACATTGATTTAAATTATTGGACTGTTCTTCTTCTTCTTTTAAATGTTATGGCTCCATCGAAATAATCAATCTGTTACTAACTACTAATCCTAAAGTACAACACTGCCGTTCGTGTGAATCTAGTGTTAAATAAGACGTTAATATTCGTGATTTTCGACATGGCAACTGCTAGAAGACAATGTTTGAATTGTTCTTTGATGTTAGCGCCATTTATGCGCAGACACATTCTGCCGGACATTCCCGATAATATCTTAGCCATTTTACGGGCTTGGATTACACCTACACCGGTAAGCATGAAAATTATATCTTACTTTAATAGAACTTAATCAAACAAGCGTTTGTAGCTCTTCTAAATCGTTTGATATTAAACCAATGAATTCTGTGTTTACACACAATTCTGTTTGTTATATCTAGTCGTAATCACATTATATGTGTGTAAAAGTCAATGTGATAATCTCTGTTGCTCGTAAATTAAAAGACTAATGATGAAAAAATAGGATTAAGTATTGATACATGTGTCACCTATATTTTAACACTAAAATTATTTATTTTCTCTTTCCAGCTTTCAAATGAAGACATAGTGTGTGATAATTGTTACACTTTGTTACTAAGTGCAAGTGAGAGCCAAGAACCCGTAATGCCCGCAGTTGGGCATACAAGTGTCTGTTACGGTTGCGGAATTTCAATGTTGAGATCCAGAACTCATACTGTACCACTTGATAGTCCACAAAGAAATCATATATTATCATGGGTACCACATCACATCAGGTAAGCTTTTAAGTTACGTAAATCCAGCAGTTTATGTTTTCATTTTTTTAGTATTATAGTGTATATTTAAAAAAAACAAACATACTGACTTGTTCATTTCAGTATTCTCTTAACTATGCTTGAGCCAGCTTACGGCAAAAATGTTATAAATCACTGTTACTTAACCTTATAAAAAGTATTTATGATTAATGTAACATGCTTATGTATTTTATGTTATGTAATTATTGATTACTGTATACAGAATAGTATAATCTTTTAATGGTAGTATGAAGTACTTAAGAATGTACTTCATTGTGGCTAGTTGATGCCTGCAGGTACTATAAAAAGATCTATCTACCTATATATATGGGATAAGTGAAGGTTGAGTAAAATGTTTATTTTATACTTGTTTTGTTTCAGGTAAATAGATTGGTCAGAGTTTGCCGTGCATGTTGGATGGCTGCTACTAGGACTATTCAAAGGCAATAAGGCCAAATGGCACGTATCAGATAGAAGTGTCCGAAGAAATTGAAGAAGACTTGCCATGAATATTAGGAGCCAACAATTATTTAGTTCGTGGGAGAATAAAGTCAAGACTTGTATCCAGCAAAGTGTACTATACGTACATGTTGATAAATAAGGATGAAAATGTCAGAGACACATTAGACGCCATATCTGGTTATTATTGCTCATGTCTAGTTGGAAAGCGAACAGTCGGTTGTTGTGCGCATGTTATGTGTATTTTGTGGTACTTGAGCTGGGCCCGTTATAATGATGTAAGGGCATCAGCTCCAAGTCTTGACTATATATTTTTTGATTAAATAATAAGGAAACATAAAGTGTTTTATTTGTCCTTTAAATAGTTAAATAAATAAGTAAAAGATAATAGGCACAGCGTAGAGCAGTTTCAAACGCTGTTAGTAATGTGTGGAAACGTTATGACACGCTGCGCGTACATCACGGAGCAAAAGTGGCGTACATAGACAGCGCTTTAGGTACGGTCAATGACACATCACACTAAATAATTTTGTTCGAAAACAGCCTAAAGGGCAACGGAATAAGATACGTCAACGTGTAGCTAAATGTCATTGTTGTCATTTTATTCCATACATTACAACATCTTAAGCTACACTGCGTTTAGTGGTGACAGACGATTGAATTTTCTTGGTTTTAAGCCATTTTGGTAGTATTATCTTCTAATAATTAACTATTGTTATTATTATGGAGCCCTCCGCCTTAACAGTTACACCAAATAGTTAATGTAAACCTTAAGTACGTTGTATAAAGTCCATATTTCTGTGCTTCAACTATAACCTAAAACCAAACTTATTTTCTTCAATATCTCTGAACTCCCGAAATGAATACTGACCTAAGTTGGCACGTGTAATCCTACAAGGCTACATAATCAATTAACGGTATTTTCATCATGACACAAAAATAATAAAGTCAGTACATTTGTCCATATGTCGATGGGCATTGTCCTTTCTATGGTACATAGTTATGTTTCAAATATCAGGAAGGAGACCGCTGGTGAGGTGGCACACATTGCCGTTGCTTTACCGGGCGCGGCTTCTGGTACTCCGCAAGCTCTCGCTTTTGCTATTGCCGCTAAAGGTAAGAGAAAATACCCTTTAATGGATGTAGTATAAGATTTCAATTAAGTAAGTACTACAATTCTTGTGTACCCTCAACAAATCATTCCACCCATGTTTGTTACCATTCAGTGTAATGAAGCCTGTATTTGTAAGCAAGTATAAGTACAAAATATACACAGAGGTGGCCAAATAATAAAACTTAGTATATATAATGGGTAAGAATAAAGGCTGATTCACGTTACACCGTGCCGGGATCGAGTCTATAGTATTCTTTTATATGAACTAATTCAAGTTAGACCGGGCCGACTCCATGTCCTGAGAGGAACACGACCGGCTGATCGAACATGAATTATTAGTATATATAAAACCCTTCGGTACAATCGGTCCACTTTCAGTATTCGTCTACTTTCCCGATCGGTCCACTTTAATTATTCGTCTACTTTCCCGATCGGTCCAGTTGTTCAAATAGTCCACCTTGCAAGTTAATACATTTTTATGTAAGTTAATAAAATAAAATAAAAAATTCGTTTTACATATTTTCAAATGCAATTTGTAATTGCAGATTGTCATGGAGTACATTTTATATATTTTTTATACTGACTGCCGCTTTACGTTAACCATGATTTGAATAAAAAAAATCAAGTAGAATTCGACTGTATATTTTTTTATGTATGCTACGCGATACCAGAACAGCAGAACCGATTTTGATGATTCTTATTTGTTGGAAAGAGGGTACCTCAGTAGTGGTGCATTTGAATTTGAAGAAAACATTCCATCTCTAAGGGTGGCAAACCAGGGCATAAATCCGGATTAGCACACTTTCCGGTAACCGATTTCAATAAAACATAGCAAGTGAATGTAATTCCACGAACTTGATTCTTTGAGGTCGGTTTTTTAGTACTCTGTACTGACATTATCGAGTAGACGCATCATTAAAGTAGATCTATCGGGAAAGTAAACCGATCGGGAAAGTAGACCAATTGTACCGAAGGGATATAAAAGCATACTATAGATTTGACCGTGACACGGCCGGCACACGACCGGAGCACGGCCCAGCCTAAACATTATGTGCTATAGTAATAATAACAACCACTTCTACTGAAGATTCACTGCCGTTCAGCTCGTCTAGCGATAAACACGCGGCTGACGAAAAATATCCCGTAATAATAATAATTATTAAATTATGTTTATAGAAGAACAATCAGGCGAAGCCATTTTTTCCTTTAAATCTCAAATCGTACGTACAGTACATCCCAGTCTCGCTAGTTAATCATAGGACAATAAATACAGTAGAAGTGCTTAATTTGCGTGACACGTGTGCCAACAGTAGGCGTAGTTCCACATACTTTTGCTTAATCCGCCATTTTCACTGTATACGTTACGATTGTGTCAATTATCTTGTGCAAAATCTCGAAAATTCGTACGAATATGCCTTATTTTGCTACTTCGGCATACAAAAATGATAGTCACATTCAAGTTTCAATTTATTTATTACATAGGGCGCACTATAAGTTTCCGGAACTGGCCACTTACATAAACAATATTTAGAAAGTAATTACAACATTTGAAAATGGTACTCTGGCTGTAGAAGACAGTTTGTTTCATCTGACTGTCACTTGTTTTTACATTGTGGCTTCATTGTAGAAATTGGTTGTCTACGAAAATTTTCACGAATTAAATCCATGATATTTAATTCTTGAAAATTTTAGTACTATGATTTTCTACGATTTTAAGTGTAATTTAAGTGCCTACAGATACGATCAACATTGACGATCGACGTAGATCGTCAGTGGAGCCTACAGACATAATCGACATTGTCGATCATTGTATGTCGATCGACAACGAGAGTTATGACGTTTTCGAGTTGTTTGGGAGTGCTTATTGGGAATGTGGCATTAATTTCTAAATCCAAGATGATTGCCAAGAATTTCCAAAAATTTATTTTTGCTCATTACGAATATAGCACTTATTTGTAAATCCAAGATGGCGGGCACGATTTAAAAAAAATGCAATATGGGTATCATTTTCGAGGTATTTGGGGGTGCTCATTACGAATATAGCACTTATTTCTAAATCCAAGATGGCGGGCACGATTTTTCGAATAATGGCAAGTTGGGTATCGTATTTTGAACTAGTATACTAAACTTCTTTTCCCGATGTCCTTGTTGGGAATTTGTATTTTCAAAATCGGGGGAAAACTTTTTATTCGATGATAACACTGTTTTTGTATTCTAGCCCTTTACGACAAAAATGAGAGGTGGCCCGAATTATGTGTCCAGGAGTATATTTAAATAAGTTCTTTAATTCAACATTTTTCTTGCAGCTTTGGGCTCTGGACCTGTTTGCAAATGGGGTGTCGACCAGTCACCGCTGGCTAGAGCGATTGGCAATATTGGTCCATTTGCTGTTGCTGGTTTCAACGCTTCCTACTCAGATGCTGGTCTTATAGGATTCGTTCTTAGCGTGCCTAAGGATGAAGCGGGCGTTGTTAGTATTTATATTCAGGAATACGATGAACGAGATAAATATTTAAAGAGGCGAATTAGTAATTGATACCCATGCACGGCACTGCCGCCCGGCCGGTTAGTTAGTTCTCTTGGGCTCTTGTATTAGACGGGACGTCGCCGTCGTTGCGTATTTGTTTTGCGTGGTACATCGGTGTATTCACCTGTGTAGTTCAGTGTAGCGCAGTGACGGTTATAACGATGCCATATCACTGTACAAATGAGGACTATTGGGATTGGGACATGATGCGGTGTTACGTTATGGCATGTGATGTAAAGTATGTTGTTATTTACCGAAAACTATTCCTTAGTCGGCGAGCTCCATCCTACATATTGATGCTAGAACTCAATTTTCTCTATCCTAAACTAGGATCAAAGAATGAAGGGAAAATTGAATTATTTTTTCGTAAATTGTTAGTTAAAATTGTATTTACTGACAAGTGGACCTTGGATGCCAAATAAATTATTTATTTATTTATTATTATTATTATGTAGTACTCTTTAGGTAAGAAGGATCGACACGCGCTCGTAGCGCGGTGTGGAAGTTCAATTTCTTGCCAGAGCCGTTTTCGAGCAGAGTAGCCCAAATGAAGAATGTGTCAGTATTTGTGAATTGGCAAGACATCATTTTTTCTTATATTACGATACGATATTTACATATTTGGATTAGAAATCTGCTACTAGTTTGCCTCTAAATATTTATCTCGTTCAACCTGTCACGCTGTATAATTATGTTGAAATTAATTATTTTTTAGTGTTGATATTGTACCATGCATACTTTCCACGCAGGCAGGTTCTTATTTGACTGTCCACAACAAAACTCCAATCCGAAATATATGTGTTCCTCCATATCATTCTCCATCATTGAACCTTGCGCTGAGTGATAAAACCCTTTGCTACCACAATGTTTGTTATGTATTGTATTGTGTTATGCATATTACAAATAAGTCTACTTAAACTTATTTCTAATATACACATATTGTAATTATCAAGAAGTAGGTTATTAACAAGGAACTTTCTGTTCTTGTGTTAAAAATGGAAGCCTTGGAAAGAAAAAAGTAACTTCAAAATAAGGGCGCGTTTATTCGCCACGAATTGCATCGCGCTCACGCGCAGCGACCGTGTGCATCTGTCATGGCAAAATACGCTCTATTCATTTAGCTTTTACGTTTTAACTTCAAAAACTTTCGCGTCGTGTAACTGGACGCTAACTGTTGCAGCTGCTAACTTCAGAAGATTGTACTGAAATTTCTTGACTTTTGCAGGCTGTTAAAGCAGCAGCCAATGTGCTGAAGGGTGCAAAATTAAATGCAAAGGACATCAAAGCTGGCAAGGCTGCACTAAGAAATCACATTCTAACTGAATTTGAGAATGGCACAACATCCGCCGAGTCTCTAGCGGCTCAGGGTCTCTACACTGGCATTGCTAAGACCTCAGCCGATTTGGCCAACGATGTCAATGCTATCTCTGACAACGATGTTCTGTCTGTAAGTTTTCTGTATTGAAAAGTGACTACCCTGTAGGGTAGTTATCGTTATAAACCTATCCTGTCCTTTTTAAATACGCACCTTTGAATGCGTACACTTTATAGTCAAATATATGACTTTTAGTATAATACCTCCATAGATGATTTCGTTAAACTTCAAAACAAAATTTACAGTTTACAGTAAAAGTTGCAGGTTAACTCAAAAATTTCTTTTGGCATGTAATGGGTTTATTCACAAACCTACTTACTAAAATGAAAAGCTGTATATAATATTTAAAATTTTGGGCTTATTTATACATTTCAAAAAAAATTAAATTGTCATTATTTTTCTAGGCTGTCAACTCTGCCGCCTCTTTTAAACTCTCCATGGCTGCAGTCGGAAACCTCGCATTCGTTCCATTTGTAGATGAACTATAATTAGAAAAATAATTAGGATCCGTATTCAAAAGTAAAATAACAGTTTGTGATGTACATTAAATTATTGACACCCTGTGAATCAATAAATAAAACATTTTGTTATCCAAACGTTGCTTATTCATTTGGTGATTACTATGGTTACAAATGTAATTCTTTTTTAATTGCAATATTAGTTGTCCTGTAAAAATAGTTACATAAGTTTTACCTTTTTTGTGGTGCTTAGAAGACGGCATGTCATGACTTGATAAAGATTTCCACTATATCTGGTGGAGGTGCAGCCTTACAATTTGAACAGATTGTTACATTACAGGCGAATGCTCCCAGTGAAGGAGGCTACCGAATGTTACATGTGTTGCGCAAGGAATACTGGGTTCTCCTTCCTCTTACATAATGCTCACATTTGAATTGTTACATTACAAATGAATGCTCGCAGTGAACAAGCACTCTTATGTTGTAAAAAATAAAACCATGCTAAGCAGTTTTTGATCTAAAATTAATTTCAGGTTTAAGGTTTTTATAGCAATTTAACAGTAGAAAAAACTTTCCAAACATGTTGAACACTCCCAATTTTTTTGATGGAAGTTATATTTGCTTAAACAATTTTATTAAGTTTTTGTTTTTTTAAGTATGAAATTAAAATAAAACAACTTTAAATCTACATTTATTTTATTGCACTTCTGCCTCAGTTAACAGCATATTTGGTATGCCTTTAGTTATTGGAAACTGTCTTCCAGATTCTGGGCATGTAAGATGTCCTTCCTCTACTTCCACCTCCAGTAGAACTCTATGCGCCTTCTTTAAGAATTCTTCATCTTTGTCGTACTTGGGCTCAATTGTCTTTGGCAGACCATCACCATATCCTATACTATTTGCAGCCTCATAGACCACCTCCCAGTCTAACTTCGATATAATGCGACTTATAAACTCCGGATTGAAGGCAACTTCATTTATTTTCACGTCTGTAGCGTTGATAGCGAGAGGATATCCAGTCATAACGCCTTTCAAGCATTTTGAAGTAAGCATGTTATGTGTGATGAGCTTCATTGCCAAAAGGTTATTAAAAACTATTCTCCCGGATCAGCGTTTCCAATTACTCCTTCTATGTGTTTTTCAATTTACATTATATTGCTTCCCAACTCTCTGCTTATCTTCTTATAAAATAATAGTAATCTTATAATATTTATGTAATATTCTGGTAACGCGAAGTATGTAGATTGTTGTACTAAATAATCACAAACCAGAAACCAATACAAATCAGATCACGAATTTTTTTTCTTCGTTCCATAAAGGAAAAGGCAAAGGTTTTACACCATACAGCCAAGTCTTGGTACATTATTTTTGAGCCCTGTCTTCGTTTGGCCGCCACAAAGAGGATAGGCAATTAGAGGCGGCGTGTTTGGATTGACTCGGGATTCCTTAGAACGGGCCGATACGGGTATTTTAGTTCGAGATTCGTATAATTTCGTATGATTTTGAAAAATTCGTATTTATGAAAAAAAATATTTACCCTATTAATATCTTATTAGGAGTTTAGGCTTGGATACAAATCGTTTGAGCCACGTCTTCGTTTAATTATCGGGACCCTCAATAAATAAATATTTTCAATTGTGGTTTTAATACAATTACGTTTTCACTTTCTCTTAAATAACTTAGTTCACGTGTTTGGGGTTTTTTTAAATAATCTTTTAAGCGGCTGGAGTCAATATTTATGATATACTTTCACATAAATCACATTATTGCCACTACAAAAACTTAGAATTCGTAATTAGTGAAAATATCAGGATAAAGTCTTTTGTAATTTGATTTAAAATAAGGAATATACTTCTAAATTTTTTATCACTATTTATTTTTTCGTATTTTCTTTATAATATACTTAACATTAAAATAATCTTTCTATAATAGTAATAAAACTTGGTCAAAAACCCGCCATTTCAGTCAATCCTCACAATCACTCGTTAAAATAATTACCTGTTTTATATTTGTTCAATCACTTTAAACCACGTTTTGCTCCAATTTACTTTTAACTATACAAGTTTATTTTGTTATTTACGCTAAATATTAAGAGTAGAGCGTAGAGCATATTAAGAGCTTTCGAACATTTTTCAAATTTTTCAGAAAAGCATTTCTAAAAAAGAGGAAATTATTCACTTTTTGCCTTAAGGTTAGCCAAAATGTTTCGTAATTGAAAGGGACTTGTTCTTGGCTGTGTCTTGTAATCACTTGTTTATGTCGTGATACCGCTGTTGTAGGGTTAAGGTGAGCGACGTTTCCCTAGTAAATACTCATCAGATATTTACGTTAGAAGATGGAAAAAAAGAAAGTAAATATTTACAGAACTCCAATTTGCTTACTTGTAAAAATAAATGAAAATAAGTGAAAAAATAAACACAAACAGTACGTTGCCCTTGAATATCACAAACTTTGCACAAACTATAACTAGATAAGAGTGTTAATAACTATTTGAACGCTCGATCGTGATTGGTCGAAAAAACGTAGCCTCCCGTGTCGGGATGTTCCCATTTCGCGCACTAATGCGAGCATCGTCACACGTCGACGCGCATCGCCAGGGGGTCGGTGTAGTTGAAAAACAGGACGCGACGCTTCGACTCTGTGTCAGTGTGAGTTGAACCTTAGGATCCTTGAACAACAATGAGCCGAAAAATAATCTAAACCCATCACAAACTATTAAAATTTTGAATCGATTTCTCTTGAAAATCGTATAATGTGATTACCGATATGATTAGTCCACATTCCTATTCGAATCACGACAAGTGTCAAATTTGGCCTCTTATTTGGTGACGACTAACTCAGTTTTTTTTTGTTATAGCTTAACTTCATGCCTTTTGACCATACGGGTCGACTAAAACGTCTACCTTAAATTATCTTTCCACGCTTCCAACTGCCGACCATCCTCCATTTTCTTTAAAAGAGTTTACTGATTGTGATGTTAAGAAGGGCACAGAATCTATTTCGTCCAATGCTGTTGGTAGTGACCATATTGGTCGAAAAATGTTTTTATTCATACTTGATGAGATTTTACCTGTGATCCGGTATATTCTTATATTTTCTATCAGCAGCGGGGAATTTCCTTCCCTTTGGACGGAAGCTCTCATTATTCCTCTCCCCAAAAAAGCCAACCCTTTTAACCTTTCTGATTTCCGATCTATATCTATACTTCCCTTTCTATCAAAGCTGCTAGTACGACTAGTTCATAACCAAATCACCCCTTTTCTCATACGTAACAATCTTCTCAACCCCTTTCAATCCGGCCGGCCAGAACACAGCACTGTAACTGCTCTTGTTAGGATCACTGATGACATTAGGTATAGTAAGTCGCAACAGCAACTCACTGTAATGTCATTGCTGGTTTTCAGCAATGCTTTCAACAACGTTGATTTTGACATTTTGATTGCATTTTTACGCATTCTTAACATATCTCCAACGGTAATCTCTTGGTTTCATGGTTACCTGCATAGGCATCGGCAATGTGTTCGCATTGATGAGAGGTTCTCTTCTTGGTGTGACATCAGTGCTGCCGTTCCAGAGGGCGGCGTTTTATGTCCTCTTCTTCTTTTATGTCTTCTTCTCTTCTCGATCTTCATTAATTCAATTTCCCGCAGTCTTACCTCATCCTACCACCTGTATGCAGATGATTTACAAATATACACTCACCGGCCTTGAAACCGGCCATCTTGAAAACCTGCACGAAGCCATTGAGGAAATCAATAATGATCTCCGTCATATTTCGACGTGGAGTAAACAATATGGTTTCAAAGTAAACGCAACGAAAACGCAAATGATTGTTATTGGCAGCTCAAGAATGATACCCAAGATAGATTGGTTTCGCTTGCCGCAGGTTATTATAGACGACACCTACATTAAAATTAGCGACAATGTAAAACATCTGGGTATGCTCATTAATAGACAGCTATCTTGCGACACCTCAATTAGTTGAGACCAGTCGCAAATTGTTTGCGTCTGCCGCCTCTCTTAGACGGTTACGTAATTTCTTGCCTATTGCTACGAAAATTGCGCTTGCCCGAACTCTTCCTCCAATTCTTGATTATACTGATGCCTGCTATCTGGATTTAACCAAAGAACAGCTCAACAAGCTCGAACGTCTACAAAAAACTGTTGCAACCGTTTCATTTATGGTCTGAGGAAGTTCGATCAAGTTTCCATTTACCGCAAGGAGCTGAAGTGGTTACCTATTAGACTTCGCCGGAATGCTCATATTTTTAATCTCCTTTATGACATCTTATTCATTCCTCACACACCACCTTATCTTAAGGAGCGATTTGAATTCGCCCATCAATCCAACCCCCGACTTCTGCGCTCGTCTTCAACTCTCCAACTTAAGATGCCATTGCATACCTCCCAGTATTAGGACAAGTCCTTTACTGTTCAGGCTATTCGTTTGTGGAACGCTTTACCTTTGTTTATTCAACAAGCGAAATCATTGATTATATTAAAAAATAGGGTAAAAGAACACTACCTAACTTTAGTGTGACTTGAACTGCTTAGGTATTTTTGTGTTTTGAAATTATGTTTTAGAAATTTTATATTTATAGATGAATAAGAGAATAATTTACGATACTCATATTATATATGTATTGGTTTTATTATTTATAAATATATGTATATTTGCATTTATTTATCGACTTTTATCTATTGATTAGTAATTCTTCAGACACCGCCGTCCTTTTCCTGTGAATTATATAATTATTTCCATCCACAGGTTGTCTTGTAGAAATCGCTTAAAGCGATAAGACCGCCCATTGTATCACAGCTTATTTTTTTTATTTAATTGTATTGTATTTGTTTCCTTTTTTGGTGTACAATAAAGAATTTTTGTACTGTATAACCTCCAAAACTTCAAACTGAAATATCTTTAATTCCCGACTTCTCAGAATAGTAGTAAACCCAAAACAAAAGTGGTTCAGGAATTTCAACTCTATATTTTTCATAAGCAAACGCATGCAAATTATGTGAACAAAAATATATATGGGAGTTTACCATTGTCCTTTATTTTTAATTTTTTTCCCTGAATACCCCCAAGGAATTGCTTACCTCAAAATTCCCTCTGGGAGTCAAAACAGTGCCCCCAAGTTTATAGGGAACCTTCCCTCTGGCAGAACTACTGAGTAGTTGTTTTAAGAACAAGATAGTAAGAGAGGGAGAGCGCATAATGGATGTGGTGTGTGACTTGATTAGTTCACCTACTCACTGCGCATGCACCGATCTTAATAATAAAATAATTCTTTACTTATAAACGGTGAGGTAACAGCGTGCGTGCATGAAGTGCGGAGAATCCCTTCTACTTTCATTCCTAATTAATAAAAGAAAAAGGTGTTCCCCGCGCAAATAACTTTGATTTGACTGTTACGCTTAGATTTTTGCTGTGTCCGAAATATCCGGATACGCAAAGATGTCGTTTCCGGATAACTTTTCTCGGTTATCCGGATATTTTGGATATCTGGGTATCCGGATTGCAAACCCTACTTGTATCTAATACTTATTATTTTAACTCTCACGATTTTCACACATTGTTTGATTTTTAGTTCGGGACTTAAACATAGTACAAAACATATTTTATTTATCTCGGTGGTTCTGACGTATTGCAACGTCCATGGTCTCGGAGGGACTGATGAGGCGGGTGTCAACATCTTTTAGCCGTGTGAGGTTTGCTGATTACCCGCACTTGGTCTTCATTATTTATTTGTGCACAAGGGTTATCACTAGACCGACACACAACACTCACGACTTGTCGGGCGATATTTGATGTCGTTTACAAGTATTTGTGCAATACGTCTAAACGTCGCCGAGGTAATTAATATAATGTTTTAAACATGATTAAGTCCCGAATTAAAAATAGCGGTGTAGACAATTACAAATACAAACTCAATAATTTCTAAACTTAGCATAACATATTTTAGATGGTTACACTTTGAGTTTCATAATTCTCTGACATTTCTTAAGCGATGGAGTATTTAGGGTGCTGTCGAAATTAGAGGCACATGGGACTTGTCAACTTATGTCTCAGGGCGACGCGCGCAGTGGTAGTGCCCATATGATCTTTGCACTTTATAGTTCTGAATGGCTCTGCAACTGTTATGGATAGGCGTGTCGCTTACTACCAGGCGCACAAGTTGTTCCTCCCGTCACTTGATATTTTTTGTTACTGTATTTTCCATTGGAAAAGGATAAGGCACTAATGCGTCATACAGCTAAGACTGAGATTAATTTCTTATAACAAGAAAAAAACTACGATGCTGCCCTCATAACCAAAAAAGGCACAATTATGCGTACTTTATACGACTGTTGTGCCTTTTTTCGTACCGAGGGCAGAATATAACAAATACTGAGAATGAATAAATATTATTAAATGTGGGGAATATGAGATTTGCTCTCCTTAAATTTGGGGATTTTAGCTTTGATTTTTGGGGATTTTGAATAATTAGTATTGGCAACACTGGTGCTAATGTGGTAGCCCTGCGAAAGATAGGTTATTTTTCTGTCAATTTAATTTACGTGTCGCAATTTTATGAAATAGGTTCCAAATTTACAGTTTTTCTTATCAGAAATAGATGTAAATAATACAGTTTATATATCCAAATGAAATTAACATGTCTAATCTACACGACAGCGTATCAGAAAGAAATATTGACGTCAGTAAGCCATCAACTTCAGAGCCTAAGTCGCAGCCTATTCGCTCTAAAAGTTCCCTAAATAATCGAATACAAGATAATAAGGTCCCATCACCGTCGAAGAAATCGCCAAAGCATACGACAACGTCTCGTCAACAACCAGATGAAGTGAAAATTGCAAGTCTGACATTTACAAATTCATCAGTAAACGATCTTACGCCTCAGTGCCAAAACATAAATATCGATAGTGAAAGTGACGATGTGGATCAAGGCGACGTTCCAGTGGCGCTGAAGAAGAAAAATGCAAAGAAAAAAGAGAGATTGAAGCTACAATTGCAAATGCCTCCAGTTAATGCAGTACCCGCAACACAGCCGCAACCCCAGCCGCCGCCTCCGTTTGTACAAGAACGCCCAAATTACGTGGTACAAAATCAAATTACTGTTCAAGAATTCTTCTTAACGAAAATTGGACCTCTGTATGCTAGTACAAGTTCAAGGTATTTAGAAAACATCAGTCACCACCCCCAGTTGCAATACATGCATGCTATACAAACAAGGGACCTGCTCCAAAACAGACAACATTTGGCTAGTGCTACACATACACCTCTATTACATGTAATGCAGAGGCCTAATTCAGCAAACGTGCCCACTTCTCCTTTATTGCATTCTGAGCCAACAACGCCAAGATACTTACAAAATGCTTTACACCACCCTTTACTATGTCGGTCCTTTTCTGTAGAAAATCATGCAAACAATATAGAATCAAGGCAGCAACCAACTGTGTCCATGCAGAATAAATCAACAACTGTACCTGTTAATCAAGAAAATAATGAGAAAAAAAACTCTCCAAAAAAGAAGAAAAATAATAATACTAATGGTAAAAAGAAAGACTTGAATGGTGATGACAAAAAATTTGAATTGTATATGCCCACAGATCAAGTAATTTTGGGTCTACAAAACAATGCTCTTGTTGAAGGGGTGATAAGAATAAACCCTAAACAATTTCAACACGCTTATGTCTCAAGTACAGATAGAAAAGAACAAGATGTACTCATAGATGGTATTAAGAACCGAAACCGAGCATTGGAGGGAGATGTTGTTGTAGTGCAAGTGATAAATGATAACCAGAGTGAAGAAAATCCTGATCCAAACAAGCAAAAAAAAGGCAAAGTTGTCTACATTAAAGAAAAAGTGCATAATAGAATATGTATTGGAAACTTGAAGTTGATGCCTGATAAGAACAGACAAAAAGCTTTATTCATCCCACGGGATCATCGAATTCCTCGACTTAATATACCATTTGTTAATTGGCCAAATAACTTTTATTATGAAGAGAAAAAGTATGAGAATACTTTATTCTTAGCAAAAATTATAGACTGGTCAGACACACGATTTGCTGTAGGTAATATTGTTTGTAACATAGGGCAGTCTGGTGACATGATCTCAGAAACTAAAGCCATACTAGCACAAACGGACTTGGATGTTACACCATATGGCCAGGAATTTAGAGACTTTTATCCACGCCTTGACTATGTGATACCAGAAGAGGAAATACAAATGCGAGAAGACTGCCGTAAACTGTGCTTATTTAGCATTGACCCATTCAATTGCCGTGATATTGATGATGCTATCTCATGTAAATTGCTTGAAAATGGCAATTACGAAGTTGGAGTCCACATATCAGATGTCGCTCATTTTCTGACTGAAAACACACTTCTAGACCAGACTGTTGCTCAGAAAGCAACTACCATCTATCTGGTTGAGAGAGCTTACCATATGTTGCCTGATGAATTATGTATGCTGTGCTCACTTTTTCCTGGTGTTGACAAGCTTGCATTTTCTGTTTTTTGGGAAATAACACCTGATGCTAAAATACTGAGTCACAGATTTGCTAAAACTGTAATACATTCCTGTGCACAGTTAGCTTATGAACATGCACAAGCCATTCTTGATGATAATGAAGACTCTGAAGCTAATTTTCCAGAGACTTATAATGGATATGGGTATAAAGATATTCATAAAACTGTAAAAGTTCTAGGCAAAACTGCTGCTATTTTGAGAAAAAATAGATTTGACAATGGTGCCCTTCGTATTGATCAGCCCAAGGTTTATTTCCGATTAAATGGAAATGATGGTTTGCCTGAATCATTTTGGATTTATGAGAGTAAAGAAAGTCACCAATTAATTGAAGAATTTATGTTGCTTGCAAACATGACCGTTGCCAATAAGATTAAAGAGGATCATCCAAATCTAGCCTTTTTGAGGTGCCACCCACCTCCTAGCAGTTATATGTTGAAGCAACTTGCCAAATCATTAATTCCTGTAGGTATTGAGTTAGATATATCATCAGCTGGTGATTTGCACCATTCTTTACAGACATATGTTGGTCCTGAAAACACAGACCAAGGCAAGGCCATGGTACTTAATATGCTTTGTGCAAAACCTATGGCAAGAGCAAAATATTTTTGTGCTGATGGCTGTGAAGATGATGATTTCCATCACTATGCTTTAAATGTACCATTGTACACTCACTTTACAAGTCCGATACGACGATATGCAGATATTATGGTCCACAGGTGAGATTCTTAAAGATTTAGTGGTTTGAAACCAGTACCCAAAGCTTTTATGTACATAAAAGCTAAATTAAACTACTAATTTTTGTTAATAAAGAATATTTTCCTGGTTACAGATTATTAGCAGCAAGTTTAAAATGCAGAGAGAATCCAAAATGGGATGTAGATACAGTTCGTGCAATAGCAGCCCAGTGTAATAAGCAGAAATACAATTCAAAAAAAGCTGGCGAACTTTCCACTGAGCTGTATACTTTAAAGTATATTGAAATGCATTCCCCTGTGGTGACAGAAGCAGTTGTGGTGGAAGTTAGAGATAAATACATTGATGTTATCATAGTGGCAATGGGATTAAATAGGAGAATTTTCTTCAACAATGTAAGTATAAACAAAGAAACAAAAAAATCTAATCCGATAATTGCTCTGATTGATTTAAGAATTGAGTAATGTAAATAATTTATTTTTCTTTAAGTTTATCTCTCTGTTACAGGATTTTCCAGGTGAATATAAATGTATCAAAAATGATGCAGGTGTAAAACTTTCCAAAATGGAAGTAACCTGGCATGCGACAGATCAATTGCCAGTTACTACACAGATTATTGAGTTATTCTCTATTCTGAAAGTTGAAATGCACAAATGTGATGACATGATTAAAGTGGAAACCAAACTAGTGAAGCCCCAATAGACAAGCATTTAATTGATGACTGAATTCAACAGAGATATCCTTATAAATTTATGACTTACATGTACATTAAGTAATGTATAACTTGAGACTTTTAAATTCATTCTCTATTTTTATAGAAATAATAAAAAATATTATTAAAAAAAATAGAAAAGATAACAGTTTTAATGGCTAAAAGGAAAAATTCAGTTTAGGTATTATACATTTTTCATTGATTGTCTGTGTTGTTAGCAGACTGAATGAACACCAAATATAAACTAAGAAATGTTATGGACATGACAATATACAAGTAGATACATATAACATAATCTAATCACATTCTAATATCACCTGTTTGGGCTTTATGAATTCAGCTGTTATTACTACTTAGTACTAATTTTCCACTTTTGGTGTAATAAAAGTTTTATCTATTGGTACTTATGAGTGACCTAGCTTTAATAATAATTATTCGTAGAAATCATCTTGCCTATTACAAATTTTATATTTTACAATATGAATGAACTATTGAATAATAATAGTTTAACGGTGTACACAAGTTAACAAGTTTGATGCTATTGTGAATATTATGTAATTTATGGTATGTGTAATGCCCACTTTGTGACGTAGTACAAGTAGCTGTTTAATTTAGTGTAAGGTCAACGCTCAATCAGCATTTTAACAACCACCAGTTTGCGGTGGAATAAATAATTATGAACAACTGTTTTTGTTTCATTTTTTTCACATTTTGTTGTGTAAATGTCCACTTGCAACAGTGTTACCTATAGTACTGTATTACCAATGCAGTGAAATATGCCATTGCAACAATAATAATGATATGCATGTAATTTTATCCAGATTTCACTACTTGCATATAATCAATAGTCCATCCACATAATAATGGTTTTTGGTTAAAAAAAATTGTAGATGATGCTTTTTGCATTGTATGCTATCGACATAAAATTGACGTTTTCATTATATCAATGGAAAAATAATTCGTAGAACTCTGATTAAAAAACATCCGAGCCGTAGAAATATCAATATCATCCGAGTAATCATTATAGAAACCAATGACTATGATTCATAACAAATTTTAAAACACATTTACAAAAATCTTAGAGCATAAATAGTAACAATAGGTACATTTATTAAAAATAACATAAACTCCGTCGAAGCCAGAAAATAAATCACTCACCACTTGGTTGGTGAAAAATACCTATTCGTATGTAAACGCGTTTATTCCCGTTTCTATATGTTAGTACAATGCAATGCGAAAGTTTAAAAGTACATAAAAAAAGAATCACAAATGCCGTAATCGCATGGAATATCACGTAACCTAACGCGTGTAACATAAAAAAAATGTAGTCGAAATAAAGTCGAATTGAGAATCTCTTCCTTTTTTAATTAATAGCAATGGCAAGGAGTAAGAAGTCTATCTATGAAAAGCCTACCGAGACATAAATATTTTACACAACACCAATAAGTCAATGACAATACCCTAATACACAATAAAATTATTGTCAAAAAATGTGTAAACCCATAATGGAAATGACATAAAAAAATGTAACATCTTACACCTTTACAACGTTCCTAGCAGTTACAACAAGGAAGCCGATCTAATGTGGATCAGCGCTGATTTTGATTCAAATCGGAATCGATCGGATCGGGTAGTCTCGAAATCAGATGGGTTTCTGAGCGAGAAGATGAACCTGATTCCTTCTATATCTTTCTAATTTGTGAGTTAAATCACCTATTGTTCTTATTAGAAATGTCAAAAGTTTCCGATCGGCCAGTTGTGAATTGCAATTGCGCCTTGACTCGGAAAAGACGCAGTTTCCGATCGGGAGAGACAATCAAAATCAAGCTGCAGTTGTCATATCATAACACGCTTGGCGCATGCCCCTGCCTTTTTTTACCTATAAAATCTTTGCCTGAATGGCATGGTCTGAGAGGATGGAAAAAAAGGAAGCTTCCTCAAATACGTTATTTAAATTTGAAGTCTAATTTTAACATTCCTATTTTTCTTAGTGAAACAAAAGATATATTAGAAATCCAATGAGCCACAGGGCGCGAAATCATTAACATTACCAGTGCGTGTTAGCCTGGGGTGCAACTACTGTACCTACCGAAGTTAAAAGTTGTGGAACACCTTTAAACTAAGTGTTTTCAGAATTCGAACTGACGTTTCTTACAGGAAATCAAGGTATGCTCAAGGTATTCTCAAATAGCAAGACTTCTAAATACGGTTATTACTTTATTAAGCTATCTATTAATTAAGCTACCTCCTGAAATTATACAAAGGTTTTAGTACAAAACAAAGTTTATTTTTATAAATCCTATCATTACAGCGAGTTAAACGAAACAAGTACTTGGTTTACAAATAACTGTTTAATCTAATGACTGTTTACAAAAATTATATGAGAACGACAAGAAGAACAATAAGTCCGTTTCCTGCTCTGCAAGCGTTTTTTATCTAAACTCGCTACCCACTTGATTAAAGAGCAAACAACCTCCGCCGAACGTTGGCGCTCTGTCGCATAGTACGTGGGGCGCACTATACATTCCCGGAATGAATAAGACAAAAATACTATAAATGATCAAAAATGAATTTGTTGTTTCTCAAAATATTCTACGTTAGCGTTAATACACTTTTTCATACGAATGAACCAATTTTGAAAACATTTATGTCACTCCTGCGTGACAATCTCTGAAACGTATTTTGCATACTTTTCGACAGCCGCTTCACGTGATGAAAATCGTTGACTGCGTAACTGATTCTCAATTTTTGGAAATAAATAAAAGTCACAAGGTGCCAGGTCGGGATTGTACGCGGGATGGCTAATAAGGTCAACGTTGTTCACCTTCAAAAATTCATTTTTAATACAGTTGCTCAAAACGTGGTATTTTTCGCACTACAAATCGTGCCGAAAGTTGGAATTTTCGCACTAGTGCTTTTTACTTCTCCATTTTTTTTTAAATTTACTGTTGTTTCAAATCTTAAGCACAGAACTAAAGAAGTTGTATATTTATTTAATATTTATGTGCTTTGTGACGTAAGTCATTCGTCATTAAAACTTATATTTATTTACAAATACTATATAATGAACGTATCGAGTGGAGGTCTCTGCCTACCCTAGAATGGGTGACAGGCGAGATTTTTATGTATATATTTGTTTTATGTATTACAGATAAATTGTATCTCACTACCGTGCACGGGTTCCTAAAGAAGTTTAAACAAAAGTACCAGGACTTCATAATAAGAAAAGTGGTTACAGACCGATATTACAGAAAATAAACAAAAACTGCTGTTTTTGAACTACATTTCCATAGACTTTTAAATAATGGTTGCAGTGGTTGTATTTCATTATTTTAATTTACTAGCAGAAAATGAGTTTTTTTTAAATACTGTTTTATTTTACTTTCAATGTAGTTTTTTCGCAAATCTATTAAAAAACGTCGTTTGATACACGTGCGGATTTGTCATTTTCACTTGTCTCGCGTCTTGACCCTCGCCTCTGGCTCGGGCCAAGAAACCTCGACCCTTGTGAATAATGACTAACTTTCCGCACTTATATCAAAAATAACTATTGTCTGTCTGGCCGTGTGAGAACTGGCATTATCTTGGTGCAAGATGACACGGCGTTTAAGGTTATTTATACGGAGTTTGTCAATAACTTCCGGCAAACAAATGGTCGTATATCATGTCTCTTCACGATACGACGATTCTCTAAAACAACAGTAGCCACGTGTCCAGTTTTATTAAAAAAAGAAGCAATCATCCGCTTAGAGGCACTTTGCACGCTCGCGCCACTTTGGTTGATTTCGGCTCATCTCGAAAGACCCATACGCTCGATTGCTGCTTTGTTTTGGGATTGTAACTATAAATCCATGTTTTGTCACCAGTTACAATACTTTTTAAATAACAATATTTAAAAAGTAATTACAACATTTGAAAACGGACCTCTTTGGCTGTAGAATACTTTGTTTCATTTGACTATCACTTGTTTTTACAATGTGGCGTCATGTTAGAAATTGGTTGTCTACATCACCATGGATTTAACACGTGAAAATTTTCGTAGTATGATTTTTTACGACTTTAAGTTTACATTTAAAGTGGTAAAAAATCAAGCGGTGCTTCGCTCGGCTTCAAACTGCTTTTGGCGATGAAGCACCATGCAAAACGACTATTTATAGCTGATTTGCAGAGTTCAAACGAGGTTGTGTGAATGTCAGTGACGAATTTCGTGATGGTCGCCCGTCCACTGCTGTGAACAACAAAAACATCGATGTTGTGCGCCGTATGATCAAAACAGACAGGCATGTGACATACTATGAGATTCGGGCATCTTTAGGCATAGACATGAGTCAAATACAATCAATACTACACAAACATTTGGGTGTGAAAAAGCTGTGCTCTCGGTGGATCCCACACAATTTGACTGAGGCTCAAAAAACGGATCGCATCACTTGGTGCAATGCCATGCTTACCAGATTCAACGAAGGGGCGTCAAATTTGGTGTGAGACATAGTAACAAGAGACGAAACATGGATTTATAGTAACGATCCCAAAACAAAGCAGCAATAGAGCGTATAGGTCTTTCGAGATGAACCGAATCCAAACAAAGTGACGCGCGTGCAAAGTGCTACAAGCTTATTAAGACTCACCGGTAGAGATGGGTTTTTACCCGATAAATACCGTCAAAGGATAAATATCTGTTTTTGCTGAGTATTTATCCTAAAACACGGATATTTATTTTTTTGTGTTTTTTATAATAAAATTCATTAGAATTAATTTTTTTATTAAATAATTACGTACGATTACTTCTCATTTTGCCATTGTTTTATGCAACAATACTTATATACACAACACATATATATAATACTACGTTTTAGTACCTAAGTTTTTCGAGTCGATAACATCTCGCTAATTGTGGTAGGAATGTTTTCACGTTTTTGGATAAATATCGAGTAAAAACGGCTAAATATGGATATTTATCTTTCTACTGAGTATTTATCCCAATGATATTTATCCATGACCCATCTCTACTCACCGATGATTTGTTATGCAAGGCTGCAAAATTGTTGTTTGCTACGAGTGCTTGTATTGAAACTTGACAAGCGAATTAAGGATACTAAGGATCGTATTCTAAAACTCTACTCAATGCTCAAGTCAGGATTGCACTGGAAACACAAGCAATGGAAATACGACACTAATGGCAGGGACTTGAGTATGATTTCGAGTGCTTTAAACCATACTCAAATCCTGACTTGAGCATTGACTACAGTTCTAGAATACGTAAGATTGAACCACGAGCGCAGCGTAGCGAGGCGAGGGTTTCAAGTCACGAGACGCAAAACAACTTTGCTGCCTAGTGAAACACATACATTCACCTCACTATAGTGAGGATAAAAATACCTACAGAGTACTAAAAAACCGACTCAAAAGTAATTCATCCATTTTTTTTAATTTACTGTTGTTTCAAGTCTTAAACATACAACTAAAGAGATTGTATATTTATTTAATGTTTATGTGCTGTGTGACGTAAGTCATTCGTCATTAAAACTTATATTTACTTAAAAACATCTATTTGTTTAAATTGCATAGGTGTTTTATAAAACAACGGGTTACATTTAAAAATACCAAAATATTTTTCATAAAGGTGGCTGATTGAATATTAACAATGACCGGAGGTGAGTATTACGCGAGACCGCTGCACGCCGCGCCACTAAAATAGTAATTTCAATGTGGCTGACTACTGGCAACAGTTGCCATTGTACTCTGAATTTTTATCAGACAAAGAAATAAAATGAGTCTTTTTTTAAATACTGTTTTATTTTACTTTCAACGTAGTTTTTTCGCAAATGTATTAATAAACGTAGTTTGATACACGTGCGGATTTGTCATTTACACTTGCCTCGAGACTCGTGAATATTAACTAACTTCCGCACTAGTATCAAAAATAACTATTTTCATACTAGCGTGCAAAAAACGCTTTTGCGCGCAGATTTATAATGAGAAACAAAGCTTTTCCGAGCTAGTGAAGTGAATAACATATTTTATACACGGAGAGGTTCCAAAGCAAAGAATCAAATATGAGATGACCAAAATATAAGAGAGTGATCAACGACCTGCAAAAACTATAATATATGGACATTGACTTACAAATAAATGGACGACGACGGGTCTAATACAAAAACCACGAAAAAAATGTCCCAAGTCAACCTATTCGAAATTTAAATTGTAATGTCATCGCACAGTATCGCGCTGTCAGTCGAACAAATGAAGACTAAAGCGGAGTTTGGCGCTCTGTATACGATTTTAGCGCCTTACAAGTGCGGACACTTTTTAGCGCGGACCCGACGTCCATATAATTGTAAGTCAATGTATATGGAGGACATACTTGTGCACTTTTGCGAGGTATGTATACATCCTGGGCAATTTCCGCCAGAAGTAAGAAATTTTCGAAATTCAAATAAACAAGATGCGCGCCATGCAAATTTCAAAGCCTTAAATCAGGGAAACCATTAGAGGTAGGTATTATCGAAGGAATGTCATAGAGGTTAAAAAAAAATTAAAATGTAGAATTAACAATGATGGCTGGAGGAAAATTTGCTGAAAATTAGCATGAGGAGGTCTTTAGGAGTCCTTAATCACAAGTTGGGGATATATAACTTTTTTTCGCCGTTTTTTTATATGGCTGCCATAAAAGTGTTATTTTCGTTAAAAATAGCTGCCGAAAGAGACGTGCTCTGATTCGGCTGAAAATTGACATGCGGATTTTCTATTAAAAGGTAGTTTTCTTACTTTATTTACATCAGGTTTTGTCATCTCTTACCTTTTTGTTACCTCTTCCAGTAGGAAAACTAAAGCCTCTCTACGAATGTCATATTAAATGTATGGGAGCGTTTAGTGTTAAAATATATTATATGCTTAGAATAATAACGCATAGAAACCTAGCCCGCACACGCTAAGTGAGGCAAGTTAGAGGGTTCCAAACGCGTCCCAGGAGCGCGCGGGCTGTTAGTGCTCAAGGTCATATTGCACCGCGAACAGCTCCAAAATTTTTTGCTAAAAATGACGAAATGTGCGGTAAATGGGTGTAAAAATACAACAGACAAACATAAAATAGACACTAACATCGCATTCCACAAGTAAGTAATGCGTTTCAACTCATATTTTTATGTAAATATTCACTAAAACAGAAAAATAATTTCGCGGCAACAAGATACGAAAGTGTTGCAAAGTAACGAATTTTTTTTCTCCCCATTTTGCTATTCTGTATCAAAATAATTATATTACGTAAATTTTAGTGGTGCCTGTAATTTAGATTTATTTGCGCATCTTGAACTAATATTTACTTTAATAAACATTAAATGTTTTCGTTAACTCCTGTAAGTGATTGGGACACTTAATTATTTTATAATACTTTTAACGGCTCTGCGTTCATGCTTTATTGAATAATTATTTATTTTAATTTTATTTGAATTGGAGCACATATTGCAACAAATTTACAGTACTTATATATTTGTTTCTACTATAGTGTTGGCACCACCAGTACAACTTTGATAGCTTATTATATGTCTTTCTTTTCGTAACTCAAGCGAAATATTTTATATTAAAATATTTTATTTTCTTAAAAGGGGAGCATTCTTAAGCGATTTTTTAATCTATTTTAACAGTTATTTTCTTTAATGTTTGCTTATGGCATTTTCGGTTTTAGGTTTCGAATATGGCACTTATTTCTAAATCCAAGATGCGGGCGCGATTTTTCGAATAATGGCAAGTTGGGTATCGTTTTCGAGATGTTTGGGAATGTTCAATACAAATATGGCACTCATTTCTAAATCCAAGATGGCAAACACGACAGTTCAAACAAAAGCAATATTCGTAATGAGCACCCCCAAATACCTCGAAAACGATACCCAACTTGCCATTATTTGAAAAATCGTGCCCGCCATCTTGGATTTACAAATAGTGCCATATTCACATTGAGCATCCCCAAATACCTCGAAAATGATACCCATATAGCATTTTTTTGAAAAAATCGTGCCCGCCATCTTGGATTTAGAAATGAGTGCCATATTCGTAATGAGCACCCCCAAGTACCTCGAAAATGATACCCATATTGCATTTTTTTGAAAAATCGTGCCCGCCATCTTGGATGTAGAAATGAGTGCCATATTCGTTATGAGCATCCCCAAGTACCTCGAAAATGATACCCATATTGCATTTATTTCAAAACTCGTGTCCGCCATCTTGGATTTAGAAATGAGTGCCATATTCGTAATGAGCATCCCCAAATACCTCGAAAAGGATACCCATATAGCATATTTTGAAAAATCGTGTCCGCCATCTTGGATTTACAAATAAGTGCTATATTCGTTTTTCATCGACAAAACCGAGCACATCTGTAGGCACCTGATCGACAATGTCGGGCAAATCTGTAGGCACCTTTAACTTAATGATGAGTTAAGCAAGATACAATTTCCCCACTTTTGAGGGAAATGTTATTCCATGGCATCATTATTTGTATATTTGTGTGCGTGCCGACGAGCGTCGTTACAAGTTGCTTACGCCTTCATGAATTTGGTTTTTGCCTCACTTGTGACAGTTCGTTTGATATGAAACTATCATTCTATGCGTTATTATTCTAAGATTATATGTATATATTTCTAGTTTTATTTTTTAAAAGTAGGTAACGTACATAATTTCGATATCATTTTAAAGCCTTGATATCTCTTATATTTATGGAATAAAGGCGCACTCTGTATATAGCTGTACCAATGATTTCTTTAATATGTAATTCAGTAATTAAATTATATATCAAGTCTATTATTCGATAACGCGGTAGTAAATAAACATTTAAAAAGGCGTATTGTTTCTTTTAATTCCTAATTTTTATTTGTTTGACTAATAGTAAAAAGTCAAAAAGTAAAGTTATAAAGTACGACGACATCTAGTTGGCTTAACGTGATCTAGTGGAAAAACGTCTTTGACAGGTGTCCTTGACATGTCAACTTCTTGGTCGTGCGTGAATTCTTACAATAGTGGTGTCTGTGTGCCTGAATGAAATCAAATAAATTCAACCAACATCGGTAATTTGGTACATCTTCATAGTCAATGCAAATCTATCCAACTCTAACCAATTAATTATTCAATAATCTATAATCACCTGTAGTACATAACAAGGTGCTTTTTGATAATCACTGACAATTCCAAGAGGTTGAGATTTATGCACCGTATAAATGAAGTTAGTGTTTTGCGTGTTGGATTGGCTTTTTTTAATAATTTGATATTGATTAAACAGTGATTAACACAAAAATAATAGTTTTAAAGGGAAAGTAAGTGCATAGGTTATTGTTTGTGAGGCACTTTTCTATTAGCAAAGTTGTAATTGGTTATTGTTACGAGTCCGTTGTGCTTGAATTAATTTAGTGGTAATTTACTTATCTACTTTAGGCTTGGAAATCCTATAGAATTAAAATGGTCAATACCACAGATATTTTAAAGGAACTCTACTATGGCGAAAAGTATGACAGTTTATCTTCTCTGCTAGATGGTATAAACTCTTTAATTAAAGTTAACATTCAACCTACTGATAAAATAACTTCAGATTTAGCAGATTCAGAGTTTTTGAATGAAGTAAAAACGTTAACAGATGAAGGAATTCCTATTTTCTTTGGGAAGACACTGAGAGATCTTAAATGTATTATAGCAGACGATGCTTCGAGGGATCATGTTATTTATTTGCAATATAACGCCTCAAGGAAGTTGGTAATAACATCTACACAGTTGCCACACTCATCTCTACAGGACCAAGAGTTCAGCTCTCTAATAGAAGTGGTAACTTTGTTTAAAAAGTATATTGAAAATCTAAAAGGATACTTTCATGAGTTACAAGGCATTGATAGGTACTGCACAGTTGTTGATCCACAAAATCCAACTTTTAAGGAAGATTATAGGAGAATACTATTGGGTAAGCCTATTCTATATTTGTCAGCATAATGGACTTTGCATTACCAACCAGGCTGTCTTTAGTCTGAAATGCAAAGTCCAGTGTGCAACAGCAGTCAAGTAATTTATGTTTTAAATTTCATAATTTTTTTAAGACTAAGTGGGTTAAAAAGTTCTTGAGTGGCAACAGCATACTGGTAGACACAGCATGGGCAGATCACACATAAGGTAGACTAATGACATGAAAAAAAAAGAAAATCGGTTAGTGTTGCGATTTTTGAGAGAGGCTTTATGACAAACAGAGGATGACCATTGCCTGAGTGGTGATAATTGTAATGAAGTCACAGGTGCTGCTTCAGACTGTATTAACTGCCGTCTAGATGAGAGACAGGCCTGTAGTGTTGAATTAATGAATTATGTTTATTTACTTAAAATATGGTTTACAGAAATTGTATACTCAAGTTTAAAATTCATCTATTTTAATTTCTTTTTTCAGATGACAGAACATGGCTGCACATAGAAGTGACTCCAGAAGGTTTAGCTACAAATGTCCACCTTGTGGGACAAACAGAAAAATGGCACGAGAAGCTACAAGCTGGCCTACTACAGTGGGATCATGATGTAGATGTAGTTGAAAACATTACAGCTATATTTGGTTAGTTGTTTTATATCCCAGCCTTTGTTTTAACTCATAATACAGTTTATTTACTAGTAGATTGCTGTGTGTGCAAGTGATGTGGGCTTATGTAGTTTAGCATTATAATTGGATTGTCCCTTATCATCATCATCATTCAGCCATACGACGCCCACTGCTGATCATAGGCCTCCCTTATCATAATTAATTTCTATTTATTTATTTATTTTTTATGATACCAAGTCGTGCGCCTGGTGGTAACTTGATAAGTGACATGCCTATCCCTTTGCAAACAACTTTAAAGGAGAGTGAGCAAACTACAAGATCTTTTAAGCTATTATTTGTAACAGCTGTTTTATGTAAGGATAACAAATAGTTGTGTGTTGGTTTAATATTAATTTTATTGGTACTAATTTTTTATTTTGAGTTTGTGTAACATTCTAAAGTAAAAACAGGTTATTTTCAACTTGAGGGGTTGCATGCTAAGCGACAATATAGAAGAAGTATATAGACACTATACAATCAGGCAAGCCAATTTAAATCCACAAGTAGGTACACAAGTTCATTAAATTGGAGTATTGTATGTTTATGTACTGGGAATCAAATTAATAGTTCACCGAATTTTCCAGAGGTACTGTAAATACACCCGGTATGTGTGGTGTGTGAGTGGTGCCATACATGTTAAATTTTTTTGCACACCCATTGAAGTAATTTAAAAAATTATCTCTTTTTTCATACTTCTTGATATTTTTAAAATAACTTTTATTGAGCAATTTAATTTAATACGTAGCTCATTAAAAAGCAGGTTGATTTAAGATAATAAAAAGAAAAATAGAAAAAGACAATTCATGTTTGAGTAGTCGCGTCCTAAGGTGTTAAAACTTAAAAATCGTACTGTGTATGAAACTTTTAATTAAAAATAAAAACCGTTGGGAATATGGGAATATTACCATAGGACCATGGGCTTTTTTGTAGGCCATGGCCTCCTTGACATCCCCGTCCAGCCTTGACGCCGACTTAACAGTATATGGCACACTCTGTATATGAATACGTACACATCCATGTATTTTTTTGGTAAAACACTACAGTACAAAAATCTTATTTTTGTAATTTTATTTCTTCCATTAGATATGGTGCATTTCCCTTGTCAAGACAACAGATTTCAACCTTCCATCGCTGGTAGTGTGAAACCGCAAGAGCAAATGAGATGCTGCATATGCCTTTGCCAAGAGGTACCTGACATTCCTGGACTACCACAGCCACTGTGTCAGAATCCGTTGTGTGGCATGTATTTCCATAGGGATTGCCTATTTCAGGTAACTTATTTATTAATAATATCTATTAAAACAAATGTTATGTTATAAAGTTATTTACTGCGTATTTTAACATTTGAGTAATGTATGTATGTATGTATGTATGTGTAATCAAAAGTAAAATTATATGATATATGATGTAACATGTTTAAAGTCGGTTTTCTTCTAAATTAATATTTTTTTTAAAGAAAATATGAGGGTAAAATTGGTAAAAAAATTAGTCATTTTGCTGCTTACCTTGTGTATGTGAAATATCTTGGCACAATTTAGCAATTTGGCGTTGCCTTGGTACGGAATTGAAGCGATTTTTTGTTATGAAATTGTACGTAGCGTAATAAACTTTAGGACAATTGTGAATATACAAATTTGTTACGAAAAGGGGGTTGCGGGGATTCCAGAAACTGCACGAGAACTCTGTTATTAGATTTGTATCTAGTTTGTACGTGACACAACTGACGCGAAGTTGTTGTGCTTTAGTTTCAAAAATAGGCTTCTATCATACATAGTATATGTATGGTAACTCCATACAAATGTAGAAGCGCGGCTTAAATGTATAATAATAATAATAATAACAACGCACACACTCAACATAGCTCCGCACTAGGGAAACCCTGTGTCGCGGGTGCCATGGACACACACAGACAACCACAAATTACACACAAACTCACGAGAGAAATAAATGTAGGCCATACAAATATTTCTCCCGGTCCGGGATTCGAACCTGGAACCCCTGCGTCGCAGTCCGGCATGGTAACCGTTCGGCCACGGAGGCAGTTAAACCCGCCACGCGTGCGCCGTGTACGGACGCACACTTTCATTAACTTGAGATGCATAGCACGGGTCTACGTAAGCGCTATTAATTATAGAATTGAAGCGGTCGCTCGGTGTTTAAAAAATGACACAAATAGTGTTTATTGCTATTTGTGGCACTTTGAATGAGACGCTTATTTGGTGCTACGTTAGGGTAATTGTAATTTTGGCAAAATTGAATAAAGTATGTTTTATTAATACGCTGTGTTAAGGTATTTATAATTCAATTGCGTCCCAATTACAATTAGGGTAATGTACCATCAAATGAGCGAAGAGTGCTCAGAGTTACAAGAGTGTTCAGAATAAAGTTGTTAGGCTTTTAATTTCCATTTCATAATGATGCTGGTATAAAAATATGAATACATACCAAAGTAGTGCAATAGGCATATAACAAAGGTTATTACAATGTAGTACGAAAATACTGTGATGAACACCTTAATTTTTTAAAATTATTTCTACAACCTGTAGGTACCTGTAAATTATAGCGCTCCGAGCGAAGTGTAGGCATAGATTTAGTATATACCAAATCTATGAGTCTGAGGCATTTACGCATCGAATAGCGGAGGTTGGCCTACTTGCTCTTAAAACAGTAATAATAAAAATTAAAAATTATGTTTTAGAACATGGGAGAAGCGAGATTGTAAAATAGATACCCAAAATAATAATTTATTTCAGTCAACTTGGCCCGTATTTGATAATTACAATAACCTGGTGAAAACATTTTGTAAATTAAAGATAAAAAGATTGTCATAATTTAAAAATTGATTACTAAAAATTGAAATAATAGTAAATAATTAGAATTTTTAAATTAAATAATTAAATTTTCATTGAATTGATTATAGAAATAGAAATTTTCATTCAATCCTTTTTCGTGAAATTACTCCACTAGTTTGTTATAATTATTAATACAAAGATCGAACACTCAGAAAAAAATTCCTTCGATCTGACCGGATCAAAGGAATTTTTTGTTCGTGTTATGTTTTGTTTTTTTGAGTGTTCGATCTTTGTATTAATAATTATAATAAATATTAAATAGTTAAAAGACAGAGTATTAACAAAATAAAATTGAAATAAGAATAACTACAATTCACTTATGTTTTTCACCTATCCTTCAATTCCGTTTCGCGACATTGCAAATTGAACCTTACCATGAAAAATATCATAACATATCGACTGGATCTGAGTGACCATAAAGCCACAAGCAATTCACTCGCTTATGACAACAAACAAGCCTAATGTTAAACACAATTTAAAATTTTGTTAATTTCCAATTTTCCAGTGGCTTCTCGCATGCGCGGGTGGACGACCACCGGCCTTTGGAGTGGCAACTGGCAATTGCCCGAGTTGTCTTCAGCCGGTAACTTGTAGCAATAAGGATGGTTAACTTTATAATAATTCAAGAACTAAGAAAAATGGTGTTATTTAATATATAAAATAATTATATACCCAAAGATTATGTATATACATTAAATTCATGTAAACATTATATATCTGCAAAATTATTTTGGTATTTTATTTTCTGGTCCTAGTACTATTATTTACTTGAAGTCATAAATGTTGTACTCCAGTCTGCAATAAAGGATAGAAGAGCCTATTAGGTATTCGGATCATAATATGAACCGGACATTTAAGAATCAATCTGGTTTCCTTCACTTTCAATGTTATAAATCCATACCCAATTATAATAAATGCTGCAGCCTAAAGAACCTTTTCGGAGGTTACAGGTTAAGAGCCATTAACTAATCATTGGTCCCGTGGCGCAGTCAGGGTCATCAGCGGCTAACTGTAAAATATCCTCAAAAACAAGTTTCAAATCATTAAATCAACTTGCATACACCCAAGTGAGCGTTTTTTGTACTTTATGAACCTGTACCTGGTGTTAAGGAAGGGGAGAAATTTTGAAATTATTTAGTTAGTAACTACAGTTCTAACATTAATCTCGAACCTTCTTGATGGCAACTATACAGTACGAGCCTATTGTACAACGTTTATCATAAGCAGTGGCTTATCACGAAGTATCTCTGGATGAAGCAATTTTTTGTAGTTGTGACTGGTGAATTTAAAAGTCATTTATGCCTTTTTACTTTTAATGTTATTAAAAATTACGTAGACATAATATTGTGGTTACATAGATAATTCAGTATAAACAATGTTGAGAAATATGCTCGCACCAGCTGTTCAAGTTTTGTGATTGCTGATAAAACATTTTCCTTAAAACAATATCAGCAGATTGTGCAAATCGCTGAATTCACGCGGTCTATTCCTGCATTCTCAATAAACAAAAATAAAAGCAGATATTACTTGCTACACAAAACAAGTTGTTTTAAAAATAAAGGTCCTTTTCACATGATAATATAAATGTACAACTATTGTAGAAAAGAAGTGAAAGAAAAAATGTGTGGCAATAATTGTTCGACACAAAATTATAGGGATGTACTTTGAGTAGATTATCATTTACATTGTCATGTGAAAGTGCAAAGTTGACTATCTTATGAGTAAATTCATCACAAGGGCACTGTATCGAAGGTACGCGGTGTGAGGCTCGTACTGGAGCCAGGCGCTTCGCCGCTCTGTGGTCCTGCCTCACGTCCAATATTCTAGAACAATGAAAAAAGCTTACAGTACAAAACAAAAAAGATTAAATTGATATGGTACAGACCAATATTTGTAATAAAATGTACCTTAACATGAATCTGGTTCTTGAGCATGGCAGCACGCAGAATGAGCATAGACGTCCGCCGCTGGTATTCCTTTCCCATTGCCAGACTTCTTTCAAATGTGGTACTTCTCTGATCCACATCTTTTGCATAAAGAATTTTGTTGTGAGAATCAATGCGAGCCTGGATTTGCCCATCTAGTATTAGTTGCATAAGTTCATCTTCAAGAGCATTGACTGTGCGGTTGAAGGCAGCAGCCATTAGACGCATGTCAGCAGATAGGTATGGGCTAAAGTACTGGATCAGTGCTCTGTTGCGAATTTGCATGTACAGTGAATTTAAGTGTGGCGCTAAATACATATCTAGTAGTAGATTGTCTCTTATTTCATCCAGTAACCTTAAGCAGGAAGCGTACTTAGATTCATAAAATTTAAAAATTATGTCTCGTAATTGTGGCTCTAGTTCTAGAAATAATTTAAAAGAACTGCTAACTATGACTTGCTTCTGTAGTTCAGAGCGGTCAAAGGTGGCAAGGGCACACAATCCTCCATAGACTGCAACATTATTGCTGCTTAGCAGTTCAGGGTAGTCACAGTGGTCAATGCTAGCCGCTAGAAAGTGCTTCGCAGCAGATTTGTATTTCTTTGTGGCTAGCTCAGCAAGGCCTGCAGCACATTTTAAGCGAGTCAACACTGACTGATTTGAATCCTTTCCAGGCACTTCATTGAAATCAGGTGTCCCTTCTGCTTTGGATACATAATTAAGGACATGAGCCCAATTTTGCAAGTAAACTGACACTTTAACTACATTGAGGCACATCATGATAATGTGCTTCCCACTTGTGCAGTAATCACGGGCTCTAGAGTAACACTTAAGTGCACTGGTGAGATCTCCACAATCCAGGTAGTGATCACCAAGATCGTCATGTCCTCGTCGAATGCTTTCTTTTATTGAATTTGTTTTGTAGTTTTTCAAGTCTGTGTCTAATTTTTCCAACTTTATAGCAGCTTTTTTTGTTTTTGATTCTACCCACATGGTGTCAAGCACAGGTGTGTCTTGTAGAACTGCCACATCAGGTAGTCCAGAAGTTGCTATTGCTTCAGCCAACTTTTTGTGGAGTGTTTGGTAGAGACTCACATTGTAAGTTGTCATGACGTAGGAAATTGCCATTTTAAGGGCCTCCAACCTCAAGGAGGGACAATGGTCTGCTACAAACATCAATCTGTATAGCTTGGCAAATCCGGTGTAAGACGAGGCGTAAGTCTCCAAATCGAGCGTAGGGTTCTCAACGACGAAACATTCCGTCTCATTATTTTCATTGTCTTCCAGTGGAACGTCCACTTGCATAGGTTCCGCGGTGTTCTGAAAACAAAGATACGTTTTGTAGCTGCGACCTATGTGGAAGTATTTAATAATAATATTTACTTAATAATTTCATAAATAACGAAGATTGCTCACCATTTCGAACATTTTTCAGCGTATTGTTAGCTTGTATGAGAAATTATTCGTATTCTACTGTCAACGAAGAAAACCAACCTAAAACACAACGGGTTTCTTATCAATGTAATCCTTGTATCCGAGCTCAGCGTGGGATAACTGTTTGACCAGTTAATTACTACGCGAAACGAGCGATTCCAATCAAAAAAGAACAAGTGCACAGAAGAAATAATCATTATCAAAATACCTTTATCATTACGATTCTTCTTGGCAGCGGCATTTTTCTTTTGACATGGAGGAATAGACAGTGTTGCCACAAATGAAAAAAAAATGCTTTTCCTTATATTATCTATGGTTTCTCATTTGTATTGTAATGAGGAGGATCAAGTGCGTGTCAAGCTGCGGAACTTACGATTTAAATTCAATTCTTCTTGTGATAAGACCTGAGTAAAGTGTCAAGCTTGATACGCTCTTGATTTATGTAACGCTCTTTCCATCCTCTAACATCTACACACGTGACTTACTTAAATGAGTACCACAAACTGAACTCCAATAAATATTAACTATGGTTGTTATTAAAACTTGTTTACGGAGCTTTTTTGCGTATGTTGGTAGGTCTAATGGTTCTGGGGGTCTACTCTCGATCTCCGTCCGACATCCGTCCGAAACAATTACTGCCAAATAAGCAATACTTGACCAAATGAAAAGACGCGTGATGCGAATTAAGTTTCATACTGGATACTTGTCTTTTAATTTTGCCGAATATTACTTATTTGACAGTCATTGTTTCGGACGGAGGACGAGAGTAGCCCCCCTGGACTGAACCTTTTGTTATGCAATACATCTTTTTTTGGTTTGGTATCCTTCAAGTTTTCATGTCTATCTGCTTTTCCAGCTGATTCTGACAAAATCTAGACACTGTTTTCTGCTAACATATTATTAAAATAAAATGAAGATAAATTTTGCTAGAATCAACTGGAAGAGGTAGTCAGAGAGATGAGCAAAATAAAACAATTATGTCACATTTTCAAAATTATTTATTACGTTTTTTACAACTTCCTTGTCCATGTTCGGTATTTCACTTTAAAATGATCGTGGCATCTTATGCGGTTGAATATAATATGCGGCGGAAAGATGATAATATGCTTGGGGCAACTGCATTGACCCAAGATATAAATCTGTCCATCTCTTTAATGAGTCGGGGAATTGATGTAAAACAACATTGTCTGCTCCTAGAAATAAAGAACTTGCTATGAATATGACTGGAATCCTAAACTGGAATAATTCAAATTTGGCAATGTTCAACTGCACATATCGAATTATTTACCACGCTAACGAACTCACTAGCGTGGTAATTATTTCGATATTCCTAAGATTCTTTACAAATGACTATGATGATGATGAGGTATTTAATATATTGTACACCACTGATAGTTTGAAAATATTTGAAATAAATGAATGCTATTAAATATTACTAGAACATGTATGTTCTAGTAATGTTTACGGAGTTTTTAATTACATTCTTCAATGTTGTAACATTGAAGAATGTAATTAAAAAACAAAATCAACGAGTCAATATATTTAATCGATTATTGTAAATATGCAACGATGTGTTTTTTTTAAACTTTCAATTTTTTTTTATAAAATAATATGATCGTCTTAAAAACCACTTTCTTAAATTGTACTTGCAATGTGTCTACTAAAGTATTTTTGTGTTCCCGTACGCATATAAACAAATAAACTTTAACAATTAAAAAATACTTGTATGTACCTTGTAATCAATATTTTATTAATTATTACGATAAATATTTATAATAATAATAGAACCGAGTTCACTTTTTCATGAGTACAATCATACAAGATCGAAGATAAACAAATTGTTTGAGTTGATATTTAATTAATCTGTGTCGTAATGTTGACGGGACGTTGGTGCTAAATATTTTTTATACATATATTTATATGTTTAATGCAAACTCCGAATTTGTCCCTTATAAATTTAATATACCTAATATATGGAGATTTGTTCCACAATTCCCCACTGCATAGCATGTACTACGTTAGTTGGGACCTGTGGAATAAAATTTTAGGATCCTCACCAGTGGGAATTTGTGGAACAAGCTGGCACAATACGTCGGAAATCTCATTTGTAATTACAACCTTACTCACGGTTTAAATAATTCAAATTTGCTCTTTAGAAGTGACTGTTAGTAATTCTGACAAGTAGTTGAATGTATCTAACAGAATAATGTTCGTTATAATATAACGGATGGGAAAGGGTTATTAGATCTTTGGGTAGAGTTAAAAACGTTTGATAGATAGATGGAATAAATTCAAATACCCCGATGGGTAAAAAATTGCAACGGAAAAGGAGGTAGCGAGGGTTATCAAATTAAAGTTATAAAAGCCCCAAATTTATTTTGTACTTTGGTACAAAATAAATTTGGGACTTTTATATTTTATCTTTTTTAAACGAGAACTAAAAAAAGTGGTTGAAATAACGGGAAAAATAGTGATCTCGCGACAGCTTAACATTGCAATCGTCTTTCATATACTATTTACCTAACCAACACAATAAAATAAACAATGTAGGCTTTTACTTTCTTATAGGAAAACGTTTGGAATCACTCCTATTTAGTATGGGTCGTTATCGATTAAACAGCTAAAACGTAAAATCTATAAAACTTGGTTTTGAATATCCGTTCGATCTTGATCGAACCTATAATGATAATACCTTGGTATTATAATAAAAAAAGATGAAACTAAAGTTTAAAAGAAAAAAGTTTTATAAGTTCTAAACTCTAACTTTCTATTGATCTACTTTTGTAACTCTTAGTTATCTTTTTAAAAAGTACCCAAGTGCTACTAAAATAATTATAATATTAATATACATATTTGAAATATACATATTTTGAATTTACACTAAATGTTTCATCTCCAAAGTACTTAATCTCTTCGTGTAAACGAATCTTTATTAGAAACGCCTTTGCGTTTGTGTTACATTGGTCGTGACTTTATATGCAACATGAGGAATCATAAATCTCTAAATGAATTGGTTTTCTTCTGTTATGTGATAAGTAAGTTAACATTACTAAAGATATGAGATAGGTTACAAAGAGATAATGACTGCCTGTATTTTTCGAGACTGCTTGGATTTTATCGTTAGTGTTAAGGTCGTTGTCGGAAGTGCATTTGTCTGGTTCTAATTGTGCAAAAATCTATCTAGTTTTACTAATCTCATGAAATATAATCGGCCACGGAGGCAGTTAAAATATGTCTATAAACTCGTGTAATAGTGCAGCTTCGCATACACTAGGCAAGTTTTAATCACTTCATTTATTATTAACTATTTCCTACATTGGATTCACGATTATGTAGAGTATGCGTTACATAGTTCACACACGTATCATTTTTCACAAATTACCCAGCAATTCTTGATGCTGTCGAATCTAAAGTACAGCATCCTATCAATTGTTACTTTCACATTTCATATAATTGATGCAAAAGGTTAAAAAGTGCGAAAGTTTCTTAAAATTGTAGTATTTTGGCAGCTGAAATACGTGATAAAACAATAGATTAGTAATCAATAAATTGCGTTATCAACATTATTTTCGCATTGTGATAGTAGCACACGACATTCGATATATCTATAATAATAATTTCAGTACAGAATACTAAAAAAACCTACTTCAAAAGTCATTCATCCCCTAGTTTGCCACCCTTAGAGATGGAATGTTACTTCCAATTTAAATGGGACTACTGAGGTACCCTGTTTTCTACAAAAAATAATCATCAAAATCGGTCCTCAAATGAGTTATCGCGTTACTTAAAAAAAATACAGTCGAATTGAGAACCTCCTCCATTTTTTGAAGTCGGTTAATAATCGGATGTATTTTCTGTAACGCATGCTAAATTCGTAATGGTTGATACCTTTGTCTTAGCTAATTTTCATCTCTTTAAAACTTTTGAAGGAGCAAAGCGTTGTCAGATGTTATATTAGAACTCTCTTCGTTAAAATTAACTTATCTATACCTGGTAGCGGCTTAGGATGTTTTGCTTTTGACTTTTATACATAAATTTTAAATTATTGAATATGGTCGTCTAAATTTACACACGTGTAACAAAAATATCTAGCAGGGCCAACCAAGAGCTGTGTTTGTTATTTTTTGGAAAGTGGTGGTTGTCAAGGTGTACTTATTGATATTTTGTAGGAAGTTGAAAGGTGCACTATGCAGCTCAAATGGTGTACCTTCATTTAAATTTAAAAGAGCAGGATACAATAACAAATTGTTTTTAGAGTAAGAATCTTCTTTAATGAGGGTATGATAAAAAGAATAAACTAAATCAAGTGTGGTGAATTTTTGTATGATTTCAAATTGATCTTAAATATCAGCAAATTAGGAATGTCGATTCACGATTGTTACATATAGGAAATGAAACTATTTTTTCGGATCTAAATTGCGTGTATTTGTTTTTAAAACTTCTTTTTAGCCGACTTCAAAAAAAGGAGGAGGTTCTCAATTCGACTGTATCTTTTTTTGTATGTATGTTACGCGATAACTCCGGTATTTGTGAACCGACTTTGATGATTCTTTTTTTGTTGGAAAGAAGGTACCTTCGTAGTAGTCCCATTTAATTTTGAAGAAAATCATCCACCTCTAAGCGTGGCTATTCACGCATGAAGACTCATTTTTATAAATACCTCCTAAATTTTATTACAAGGAGCAATTATTTTAATGGTTGATTTTGCTGTTCTCCAATTCAAGGCGTTTACTCTCTCAATGTACTTTGAGTAGTGAGAACCGATTTTTATTATCTCCTGTGTCAAGTCCCGTATAGTGGCGAACTAGGGGATGAATCCGGGTTTGCGCACTTTCCGGTAACCGATTTCAATAAAACTTGGTAATTATATGTAAATCCACGTATTTGAGATCGGTTTTTTTAGTACTCTGTACTGAGATTATTTGTTTCAAGTTGTTTGAAAAAACAAATGTATACGATTTAGTTCGGAAAAAATAGTTACATTTCCAAAAGTTTGAAATGTCTATTTAGCATCGTCTATAATTATCTGATTGAGCCTATGGTAATCAATGCGCCATTTAGATTTTGCAGAGGCGTCTTGCCTTTTCGCTCCACCTTAATTGGTAGAGATTTGCTAGAGACCAATTAAGGAGACAGACATGGGCGTATAACTGTTTGGTGGGAAACAATAGCTTTTGACGTTAATAGAAATTTGAGTAAGTAGTAGCTTTATTTTCTCTTGAAATTTGTCTGGTTATTACTGAACTACTTTTTTCTAGTTACCACGTACTTTTGTTTCTTAATTAATTTTAGTGAACGCACTTTGTTTGACTGTGAAGCAGCCGGGCAATAAAAGGCATCGGATCCTTTATCGAGTTTCGAATCAGTAGTATCTGAAGTTTCTAACATGAGTGACGCTGACGTGAGAGTAAGTTAATTTTGCATTTTGATTACCTCTTCGGACGTGTTTGACATGTTAGCGTCTATTTGTTTCTGAAGTTACCTTGACAAGCTTTAAAAAATAAACGTACTTTTTAAGATCATTGTGTTAGAATAAGCTCTTCTTTAATTTCAGGGTTAGTGAGTGTCAGTAAGTAGTTCAATAAATATTTCCCTCTTTGCAGGGACTGTACATGGTAGGTCAATGGATTTGAGTTTGAGACAACATTTCCGGTGGTTAACAATTTCTCGTCTCATTTAGAATATTACATATGAAGCCTTCTATATGTTCCAAGAAGTGAAAGATGTTTTAGAGATAGATACAAGTCACGACTATGTACTTATTGTCTGCAGTGTCTTCGAAAAGGAAGGTTGTACGAGTATGTTACATTTCACCTTGTCTTAACTGTAAGCTTCATATTGACTGGTCTGCTACAATAGACCATAGGTTTTGAAGAACATAGTTTTCTATATTTTTGGCGAAAGGTTTTGGATTTTTTAATACGTTAACTGAGCGTGTATTTAGCGTTGTTTCTTCTAATCACGAAATAATGTTTTTTTTTTATAATATGAAATGACGAGATGAACAGGTCGTGCTTCTGATGGTAAGCTACAGCCTATCCATAGCAGTTGCAGTGCCACTCAGTTCTTTAGATCGCAAAGATCTGAGGCGCACTGCTACTGCGCCCGTCACCCTAACTTTTAAGTTTTAAGTTAACTAGTTCCATGTGCCTGTAATTTCACCAGTACCCTTACCCTTCAAAACCGGAACAGTAATGCTGACATTACTGCTTGGCGACGGAGTTCTTTTCTACTAAGCAGAAGGTTAAGTGGCAAGGATTTGGAGCAGAAAAAATGTGATGAAGTCTCCTGGTAAGCGAGCTCAACGGAACTGGATTTATAGTTCGAGGCAGGTAAAGCACTTGTTTCTATTCACAAATATGTTGAATAGAAACAAGCAGGGCCGAGAGCCAATCAGGTAAGGCGTAGTGTCGCGATTCAATTACCAAACATATGTAGTAATTACCACATGTTTAATTTACAAGAATATTGCAATTTATTCACGAGTATAATAATTATCGTGATTCGCGACGCATTACGAAGAAATACGAAGAGACGTAAAGTCATGTCCCATTTCTGACAACAATGTTACTGGGTGTGTTAATTTACAAACTTGCAACTTGGATTTAAAAACTATGTTCTTAAACAAATAACAACGTAAGATTTTGACAACCTCGATTACCCAATGTTTTGAAAGGTTGGGACTGGACGAAGAGGTCTCGTGTTCGGTTCCTGGTAAGATCAATTTGGAAAGTAAACTTTTCTAAATTAGTTTTGTACTGGATGTTTTGGGTAGTGCTCCGGAGTGAATTCCGTTGCTCTGGTACTCATAGCACAGCGAATGTTCTAGTTGGAGATCAGGCAGTTTTTATATTGAACATTGTGTTTAGTAGCAGTAGAGCTTCTATTTCTGCCGCCAAGCATTAATGTCAGCATTACTGTGTTCCGGTTTTGAAGCGTAAGGGTGCTGGTAAAATTACAGGCACATGGTACTTGTCAACTTACGTCTCAGGGTGACAAACGCAGAGGCAATGCCCCTCAGATCTTTGCAATTTAAAGCTCTGAGGGGCACTGTAACTGTTATGGACAGGCGTGTAGCTTACCATCAGGCGTAAGACTTGTTCGTCCCGTCACATGATGTTATAAAAAAAACATACGTTTTCGTGAGAACACAATAGCATGGCTTCATCCAAGCGAGTTAGTGACTTTAATTTTATATATGTTTTGCTGTAAAATTGTAACCAGAGCCTGAGGCTCATACACGGGCATAAAATAAATTGCAATCATACGAATGTTTTGTACATCCTGCTTATTGTAGCTCTACACATCAAGAGCGACGCGGTTTGTTTATACATACAATATATACACAAGCGTTTAACAGTTGTCAATTTTAAAAAACCGCTTGGCATTTCGCATATTTAGCTGGTAACTAAAAAGGGAGTTTCACAGAGTAGGAAGCTGAAATTCTGAAAAAGAATTGGTACGCATGCGCCGTGGGATTGATTTAATAGAACTGTCAGATAAAATGTGTGTTATTGTAAAGGATGGAATCGTACGGTTTTATTATTTATTATTTTTTGCTGTCTGAGTGACAACCTGGCAAATATATTTTTGTTTACCAATATAAACCAGAGAAATGCTGAATTATTTGATATTCGTGATAATAGAAATTCGAAGATTCCTGACCAGCGTTTCTGCAAGCGAACCGAAATCTCGCATTAAAAATAATATTAGTTTAATTTCTACAGTATATTATGATGATGGTAAGTTTCTCGCGTAATTATACAATTCATGTAAGTACCTACTAAAGCCATTTTTAGACAAGACTATAAATTTGACAATATTGTTACTAAGCATTTTAAATAAAATCATTTTCTTTGCAGCGCCATTTCGCAAGTCACTGCAAAATGAAAACGTTCATAGTACGAACCTGTTTCTCAGTTTGATTTTTAAGTACCTATAAGATTACCAGAATCATACATGTCATACAAATTTAGCAACTGAAAATTCTTGTTAGCGACTCGTATAATTCATACTGGGCTAGATAATTAGAATGCGTTGAAAGTTGTTGATACGTAAAATATATATTTATTTAGTTTTCTGAACATTTAATTCTTCCGGAAGATGTTTAGTTTTCTGAACTTTTAATTCTTCCGGAAGATGTTAAAAAAATTATCTGCATCTGGCGCGCAAAGCCAATTACCTTCTTAACGTTTGATTTCTTTTTCACAATACAATTTAGCACATTCTGAGCTCTACTGAATAATAAACACAGTATTTAACTATTTTGGAATGAGCTAATATTCATGAAGTGCAGCAATTTCTATTTTCTTTGTCAAATTTGTATTTTTTCTTTGAATGAATGAATGAATGAAATATTCTTTATTGCACATAAAATTACAATTAAAATACAATACAATAGCTTAGGTATAATAATAGTAGTAGGAAGTCAATGTGCAATAGGCGGCCTTATTGCTATGTAGCAATTTCTTCCAGGCAACCTTAGGATAGACAATTCGGATATGCAAAAGGGGTGCAACCAAAGAATATCATCATAAAGTACACTACATAATAAGTAATAATAAAAATATATACATATCCATAGATATACATATACATATACATACAAATAACAATAATATTATTAATACATACATAACAATAAATACACAATAATATTAAATGCTTATATACTTTTAAAGGAAAACGAAAAATCAAGTATAAATGTAGGAAATAAATGAAAGGATAGTAGAGGACAGACGAAATTTAGGAGTTGAGGAAGTGATCCTTGACACGATGTTTAAAGGAATCAAGAGAAGGGGATTGTCGAATCGATTCAGGGATAGAATTCCACAATCTGATTGCAGAAATGGTAAAAGAGTTGGAATAAAAGTTAGAGGTATGAGAGGGCAAGTTAAGTAAGAGAGTATCAGAGGAGCGAAGGGGATGACAGAGTGTAGAAGAGTGGAAAGTAAAGCGATCTTTAAGATAAGAAGGCGTAAAGGGATAGAACAGAATTGAATAGAGAAGTGAAAGGATATGAAGATCTCTACGCCGATGAATGGGCAGCCATTTAATTTGTGTGCGAAATTGGGAGACATGGTCAAATTTACGTAGTCCGAAGATGAACCTAACACACATATTTTGGAGCCGTTCCAATTTATTGAGCAGAGTTACTGACAAATCTGGGTAGCAAATATCTGCATAGTCCAGTATCGGGTGGAGAATGCTCTGGGCCAGAGTAATTTTGGTTTTAGTCGGCAAAAAGTTTTTAAGCCTTCTCAGAGAGAAGTGCGCACCAAACACCTTCCTGCTAACCTCAGCAACGTGCGGCTTCCAAGTCAGACATTTATCAAAAATTACCCCCAAATTCCTGACTGTATCCAAATAAGGAATACAAACACCATCGAAAACAAGTAAGCAGTCTAAGCAGACGTTTCGGGCCCTTTACAGGTCCCATGGTCACGGTTGACTGTGGGACCTGTAAAGGGCCCGAAACGTCGGTTTGTTTGAAAAAACAAATATACGCGACTTAAATCCGTAAAAATAGTCTCATTTCCTATGTGTAACAATCGCGAAAACCTAAGAACTCGATAAACTATAAGAATTTTATTTAATCCCGTTTTTAGCACACTATAATTTGCATTATAATTTATTCATCCCTGAATATGTTATGAGGATTGGTGTATTATAGGAATTTTGTACTTTTAAAATACAATAAATCGCTTTTCTTTTGAATGCGGCAAGTAAAATGTCACTTCGCTCCACTCCGCTTAAAACAAGCGCGCAACACAGCGGACTTATCTTATTTCGCTGAGTCTGCTTCGCTAAGGTCTGTTATACATAGGTGGGACGCTTTGGCTAGGGATCCTTCTGCATCTCCTCATGCAAGCGTACACTAACGGCAAATATGCAGAGGTATCCTTAGGCATGCTGAAGGATAACGTCGCGACGGCGTCGTGCTCGCGCCTATAACTTCTATTTAGTCATCTTAAACGTAACACAACAATATAGTGGAAGCACTTCTATCAAATTTACAATTGCGAGTCACGCGGAGTTCGCCCTGCTCATTACCCTTCCGCAGTGGAAGGCGGACATAGCATATATTGGTAAAAAAGTACGGCAAACAAGTCGTTAAATACCAAAAACAAAGATCCGACAACAAGCACATAGAAAAATTCGTGAAGTCCGAATGGTTTGCCAGTAGATGTCGGTTCGAATTCTGCCTGATCGAAGGAGTTTTCTGTAAGTGTTCGATCTTTGTATTAATAATTATAAAAACTAGTGGAGTAACTTCACAAAAAATAATTGAATATCATGGTGGTGAAACATCCTGACATTCAATAAAAACTTAATTATTGGTAAGATACTATAAGTTGAAAACATTCCTAGTACGTCCAAGTCTTACTTTTGGCGTGAGGCATAGGTCAACATGAGTCTTATGTTATGCCAAAATGGGGAAAATTGCTATTCGTAAAAATTTCTTTATTCTCTTAAAACACGGAGCATTTTTATCTATATAATATATCATTCTCAAAAGATTCAGAGTTAAAAAAAATTAACTATAATAGGTAGTTTAGAGGAAATATAATTACTTATCAAAATTTAATAACAATTAACTGGGTACTGTACTGTAAATATAATTACTTATTATTTTACGACTATATAAAGGAACATTTAAAAAAGTTTTGCTAGAGAAAGAATTGGCCGCGTGTTTGATACAGTTGCATATCGAATATATTTATGCGAAACTTAATCAAATTTTATCGCTTATATACAAATAGGATAACATTATTTTTAATCAATGATCTTCTGAAAATTATTATGTACACTTTCTGAAATAAAATAATTAGGAGATGTAGGCCCCCGTTATGTTAATGGTGAGTCCAAAAATATTTTAATGGTTAATATAAAGTAAAACAAAAAAGAAATTGAGTACTTCGTTTTTCTGTAGCGAACGTTATACGTTAGTTATTGATTTTGTGAAATCATTTATCAATGACAAACTCGATTTGAATAAGATTGTGGAACATGGCGATAGTGATCAGGTTACGATTTGTGATTGTGATAACTTTGATAATTGATAATATGTTGTAGGTGGTTGAATGGGTTCGCGGGCATTTCGGTAGGATTTGTCAACATGAAGACTATATTGGTGTTGATTGTTATCTACTTGTTGTACTGCGAAGGTGCCGTGAAGTTACGTCAGGACGACCAACTAAACAACCGGCCTATCATCGGCGTTCTTTCACAAGAGCAATCCTTGTTTCTACGCGAGAAATATCCAGAAGAAAACTATACTAGTTACATAGCTACCTCCTATGTAAAAGACGTTGAAGCATCGGGCGCTAGAGTCGTACCTATTTTGTGAGTAATACGAGTAGTGTTACTTTATTCAAATTATAAATTATAATTTAAAAATTAAGTGAATTGATAATTTTTTTTTTTAGAATCGGAAAGGATCGTGACTATTATGAAGAATTAATGAAAAAAATTAATGGGTGAGTGTTATTTATTAAATAACTTCCTGTGTGAAGAGTGATTCCGGTGGACGAATTCCGGGACAATGTGATTAGAGAGTGTTGCGGCGTGGAAAACGATGTAGTGACAAAGATAAAGAAATGGATGGCAAAAGGCCGTGAAATATATGTATTCACCTGTTTATACAGGGTGTAAATTTGAAACGGGGCAGCAAGGCCAGCTACCTTAATCGTTGTATTTATATGAAAACGTTTCTAGAAGACTATCCATGAATTTTGAAGATATTTTGAGTGGCATTCACAGATTTTGAAAAAATGGCACAGTCAGCAAGATAAAAGGCAATTTTTACAAAACTCTTTTTATGCCGTTCGTTCCGGTCTCTGGTAAGGATCAATAGTCTCTATGGGACCAACTGAGGTAAGAGTACTCGGAATGTTAGAAATCGCAAAATACAATTTACCATGCATTTTGTAGGGACTGCTGACTGTACCATTTTTTCAAAATCTGTGAATACGAATCAAAATATCTTCAAAATTCATGGATAGTCTTCTAGAACCGTTTTCCTGTAACTACAATGATTAAGGTAGCTGGCCTTGCTGCCCCGTCCCAAATTTACACCATGTATACATATCGCAAATAATTTAAAATAAGCGCCTTGACGTCGAGTTGCGGACACCAGCCCGTTACACCAAGTACCAAGTAATTTATTATTTTGCTTATCGAGTTTTTTTAAAGAAAAAACTTAACTTTTGTGACTATAGTAAAATTAAATGTAATAAAAAATTGTAAATAATAATATTAATAACAGTAACGCACACGTTCATAACCCCGCACTAGGGAAACCCTGTATCGCGGGTGTTATGAACATACACACATAGACAACCACAAATTACTCCCAAACTGACATAGCAATAATTGTAGACCATACAAATATTTCTCCCGGTCGAGGAATTGAACCCAGGACCTATGCGTGGCAGTCCAGCATGGTAGCCGCCGGCCACGGAGGCAGTTAAATGCGGAATGCCGTATTCGAACCACATAATCATAGTGGCGATAATACTAATGATTATACGTGGGGTGCATTATAAGTTTCCGGAATGAATAAGAAAAAAATACTGTAAATCGTCAGAAATGAATTTATTGTTTCTCAAAATATTCTTCGTTAGCGTTAATGCATTTTTTCATACGAATGGACCAATTTTGAAAACATTTATGCCACTCCTCCAATACAATATCTGAAACATATTTTTCATACTCTTAGACAGACTCTTCAGGTGATGAAAATTGTTGATCGCGTAACTGGTTCTTAATTTTTGGAAATAAATAAAAGTCACAAACTTCCAGGTCGGCACTGTACGCGGGATGGCTTATACGGTCAACGTTGTTCACCTTCAAAAATTCATTTGTTTGTCTGGCCGTGTGAGAACTGGCATTATCGTGGTGCAAGATAATACAGCGTGTACGGTTATTTTTACGGAGTTACGGAGAACCCAACAAATGGTCGTGTACCAATCACTATTCACGGTATAACGATTCTCCAAGCAACAGTTGCCACGTGTCCCGTTTTATTAAAAAAAGAAGCAATCATCCGCTTAGAGGCACTTTGCACGCGCGTCACTTTAGTTGGTTTCGGCTTATCTCAAAAGACCCATACGCTCGATTGCTGCTTTGTTTTGGGATCATAACTATAAATCCATGTTTCGTCACCTGTTACCCTATCCCACACCAAATTTGACGCCCCTTCGTTGAATCTGGTAAGCATGGTATTGCACCAAGTGACGCGATCCGTTTTTTGAGCCTCAGTCAAATTGTATGAGATCCACCGAGAACACAGCTATTTCACACCCAAATGTTTGTGTAGTATTGATGGTATTTGACTCATGCCTACGCCTAAAGATGCCTGAATCTCATGGTATGTCACATGCCTGTCTGTTTTGATCATACGGTCCACACCGTCGATGTTTTTGTTGTTCACAGCAGTGGACGGTCGACCATCACGAAATTCGTCACTGAGATTCACACGACCGCGTTTGAATTCTGCAAACCAGCTATAAATAGTCGTCTTGCATGGTGCTTCATCGCCAAAAGCAGTTTGAAGTTGAGCGAAGCTCCGCTGAGCTGTCAAATTACACTTAAAGTAATAGAAAATCATACCACGAAAATTTTCACGAGTTAAATACATGGTGATGTAGACAACCAATTTCTAAAATGAAGCCACAATGTAAAAACAAGTGACAGTCAGATGAAACAAACTGTATTCTACAGCCAAAGAGTTCCATTTTCAAATGTTATAATTATTTTTTAAAAATTGTTTAAGTGGCCAGTTTCGGAAACTTATAGTGCGCCTTATGTATTATAATTAAAAATTAATATAGCGAGCTCGCGTATGCAGTAATATACTTTCATATATTAATATTTTCGTCACGCTCTGAGGCCACCATAGATATGGCCATGCTACCCAATTTTTTTTTATTATGATATTACCCATGTAATATACGGCTAACGTGAATGATGTATATCTAATTTTTATGAATCTACGACTATTACTTAAAAAAAACATTTACGATGGCGTAGCTACGGAGAATGCTCTACAGCCAAGCCACCTATTATTAATACTTGTAGATGCAATTTTAGCTATTTTTCTGAATGTAGCTAATGCACGAATAGGTTGTCATTTAATTGTATTGTACATTCTTATGAGAATAAAGTGTCTAAAAACCGAAAATGTTCTATATTCAGAGTGTTGTTTCCCGGTGGTGCGACATATTTCAACAATTCTGACGGTTATGCTGACGCGGGGCAGCACATCTACGAAATTGCTCAACAAATGAACGACAGAGGTGACTACTTCCCCATCTTCGGTACCTGCCTGGGCTTTGAGTTGTTGATCATTTTAGCTTCTGGGCGTAGCGAAGTAGAAAATAGGAACAGGTGTTACTCTTACCAAAATTTGCCTCTACGGTTTACTACTGGTAAGTTATTTTTACATAATGGTATATCAACGAGAACACGAGTACAATACATACATTTTTATGTCGATAGCTTATCAAGGCCGATAATATAAACGGAGAGGTAAAACACTATTCTTATAAGTACACACAAATATAACAATTGCTACTTATATACGAAAAAAATGCTTCCTACAGCACACTCCGTTTAACATTTAAATAGTACCTACCTATTCTATCCCAAATGGTATGTCTCAGAGTGTTGTTGAATTTTTGATAGTCGAAGGACGCAATGAATGTTTGTGCAAAAAGGAAAAGAAGGACTGAACAAAAATTGTTGTATGTTGTAATAATTTAGGTTAGCTTGAAAAACATAATTTATAAAAAGAACTCAATCTGTGTTTGGTCAACGTAATAAAACAAATTTTGTAGCGTCATTGAAAACTTTCATAGGGGGCAGCTTCCACGACTGTATTTATACTTTCTTTTAATAATACTGACAGTTGATTACAAATTTTAAATGCATTGAGAGTTTGCTCAATTTAGAATCGTTTCGATCCAGCAGTCAAACTCTATATATAGTTTTGTAGGACTATGTTTTCTTAAGTATATTTGTACTCCTTTTTAAATCCTAAAAATAAAAAATAGGCCTCTTCTTTATTGCGCCAATTTTCACGGTCCGGTACCATCCGTATTTAGCGCGATCCCGCAAATCAGACGATATTGTTAGACCATCGCACCTTCTTTAACCAAAGCAGTCACAGAATGGTGGCTACCATACTGCTTTGATCTATCATCCGTCTTCTCGTCTAATAAAATGCCCATCTCAATGCATTTACATCATATTATAATTAATGTAATTGTAACAAAGAAATTATTTACCACGCTCGTTGTCTTGTCTTGACGAATTTTTAAAATAATTATGAAATAATTCAGATTGTCTATATGTATATTGGAAATAAAATAAATTTTGTTTTTTCATACAAACCCGTTGGTTTGTCTGAAAAAACAAAATTTGTTTGTTGTCGAAACGTTCTTCGACCATTTTTCAAGTTCTTCTGACTGAGATATGGTAAAGTCAACAACCAGTATTTAATTTTAATGCAAACTTTTCTATTTTTCATTATAGTTACAAAAGTTATTAATTTAAAATACTTTCTTTTTAATTTCCCAAAAACATTCCCTTTTACGCCACATAGGTTTTGCAAAATATTTTATTATAACAATATGAATTTTTACTGAATTAAAATTATTAATGAAAAGGAAATTAGAAATAAATTAAAACATATTAACAAGTTGTACTGTAGTTGCTTGGGATTTTTCATCAGAGAAAATATTGGCTCTCAAACTAGTAGCATGGAGAAATAATTTGCCCTGTTGAAATTAAGATTTTTTATTTTAATTTTAATGGCCGCTCTCATTAACAATATATTATTTCAGATTATCGGGACAGCAAGATGTTTTCTGCCGCACCACTGGATATACTTGTAATACTGGCGACTCTGGACGTCACAGTAAATTCTCATCAGTTTTGTATAGTTGACGACGTAAGCTTAACTTTCTAAAGCAACCTACGAGTATAGTCATAGATTCAACAACAATAATACGTAGTATCTATCACTAAAACCTGCACAGATGACACATTTTTTGTTTGTCGAGCTGTTGTGATATCTGATAATAACGGAGATGATTGTAAATATATTTAGTCTGGAATGTGTTGACAGCTCGGCATACAAAAACATTTATCGTCTGTATGGATGTGTTCATTGCTAGATAAAACAGACAATCTATACATACATATACTTCACGCCTTTTTCCCAGTCTTTCACTTGCTACGGTCCTGACACATTCTTCACCTCATCAACATGCATCAGTACGTTCATATACGGTCTTCGGTTAAGGATACTCTTGAACTGGCCCTTCTTTAGGATGGCTTCAATCAAAGCATGCAATGCACCTAACGGAAAGTGGTTGTAGAGCAATCCTAAACTGCGCTGACCTTGTGCGAACCCTACATTCGGAACACAGTAGAGTTACCTTTCAGTTGTAATACGAAGATAATGGTATCTCTGACTATCCAAAAGAGTCTGCAAAGTACTTTAACAGTCACAAAGTAGCTGCTCTAACTATAAAGAAAAGGCATATTCTTACGCTAATATTAATTATGTAGATAACACCGTTACTTAATTAATTTAGAGATTTAATTAATTTGACTTAATTAATTTTGACTTTCTCGTAACTGGAATTGAACGCATCAATTAAGCGAGTATTCTGATCTGAAAATAATGAACTTAAGCCACACCCTGTTTATAATAGTGTGTAGTTAACAGGCATTGTCTCGAGCTGACGTATACATCGTATTCATATATAATATCACCGTAATTATTTTGCCATACAGTATTACTAGCCTCAATCATGCCAAATCTTGTCAAACCTATGTGCCTTTAGAGCAAAGGGTTTCTTGTTTAAAGATATGTACACATTATAATATTTTTAGAATCTGAAGAGCCACGGTTTGGATGATGATTGGCTGGTGACGTCACACAGTGATGATCAAGACGGCCTCGAGTTTATAGCGAGTATTGAGCATAAAAGGTAAATAATTTATTAAATAAGTGTAGATCGAGGACGTAATAGTCGTCAAAAAGCGAGGAAATATTTATTGTCTACAGCTTATATACAATATTATAATGGTTTCATATTATGTTAATGAGATCGCGTGTTTAATATAAATTATCAACTATTTCAGATATCCTATCTATGGCGTTCAATTTCACCCAGAGAAAAGTTTCGAGTGGAAACTCAGTAAAAATTATCCCCACTCAGCAGAATCAATTAAGGCGAATCGTTACTTCATGGATTTTTTTGTAAGCGAGTGCAGAAAAAGCGGGCATTCTTTCAACAATGCAGCTGAAGAAAACGAGTACCTAATTTATAATTATATACCACACTTCACCGGCTTACTTGGTAGCGCTTACCACCAATGTTATATGTTGGAACCTAAGGGCGTACGTAACTAATAAATAAGTAAAAGTGATACAAAGACCACGATATATAAAGATAAAAAGATAGATAAAGCATTTATTCAGCACGTGACGTCACAGTATTACATATAACAAAAAAGGAAGAGGATATTCTACGGCAATGATCTGTCAGCGACACATCAAGTGCAACAGTTGCACTACAAATCCGGTACTATTACTGATGGAATAAGAAAGCTCTCATCGAGCATCTCGATCGAACTATTTGCGCCGCCGTCCTCACAACAACAACTTTCTTAAATAAAAATCAAAAAGTGCTACAAATACAAATACACAGACAGTGTATGCATATAAAAGCAAAAGCATAGAACAGTGAACACTTGTAATTACTACAGTATATAGAAAGCAAAATCATAGTACAGACAACAGCACATCAAGTTACACATTGACGGATATTGTTCCGTTGCACTGGAGGCGATATGCGATACTCGAACAAAAGTGCGTAGCTTTGTGTGTCGTAGACTGTATATTGAAGAGAGCAGTTTGTAAATTTGTTTGAAATTGAATAAATAAATATAAAATGTTGGTTAGCGCTTGGTTGGTGTGCAGACAGGAAAATGATAACTGAGACGAGAAGACATTGAAACATAAAACCAAAGGAATGACTTGCTTTTGGACGACGTGCTTATTGTCTGCTCCATCGCCACCATTGTTACATTAAGCTTGGCTTTGTGAACTAAAGACAATATTTTTAAACTCAATTTGAATTATGTATTGCATTTACTAATTCGTATGGGTAAAAGGCATGTTGTCCCAACATTTGCTGGCGAGAAGTCGAAAGCTGCCACGAAAAACTGTCGTCCTATATCTCGCAACCTATTTTCATTACATGCTCCAAATAAGTTTTGCTCCTGTACAGTTGTATAGAGTCGGCGCAGTATTTTCTTCTTCTACCCAGAGCGTTAATTAAATAATTAAAATATACTATGTGTATAGTAGTAAATGTATTATAAAATATTTGTTATGTAATTGCAATGTTTATAAATAAATTTCTTGTTTTACACTTCTTTCGCGTTAATACCCAGTGACAGTAGTGTGATATAATGAAATGAATGAAATAATACAACGTATGGCCTGTAGTATGTACTCAAAGAAACGAAAACCTGGATGAGTGTAAAGGTATTAAAACAGAACGAACAATAAAAGCTCAATTGCTCAAAAATAAATACAAAAGGCTATTCGGGCTCCGAATCAAAGACTCGTAACGGTACCGGATGAAGGGTTTTTGTAATAGCCTCTACACTTGATTTTAAGGTTCATATCCTGGTTTCCTACGTATTTTGATTGATCTGGTGTTTTTAGCTTTGTAAATATTAGGGGATAAACAATGGTATTATCGTTGGGGCAACTCCATACAATGGTCGAAAATTATTTACCTACTACTACTACATACAGCAAGGCGCTATCTGCACACGCGCAAATGTGTGCGTGAAGTGGCAGGGTTGCCCATTACTTTTTTTTTTTTTATTCGGTTCACAAAACTGGATACAATTCAAATTTCAGATAAAAGTATATGGTTAATATTATGTTACAAGAAGAATGTACCCTACTAGACGTGAACACAACATGCGAATTGAGAAAATAAATGCTTAAATAATAATATTAATTAAATTACAGTGTACGATACACGATCGTACATTTTGCAGGATCAGCATGTTATGCCATTGACCGCTATTTAGGTTAATGCACTACGGAATGCACTTTAGTTATGAAACTCACTTGCTCGCCATCGCACATTCATCTATCAGTTATCATTTAAGCAGTTCGTTTAGCAATAAACTTCTAAATCCTATCAGACTTATCATTGAAAGGTGAACAAACCGTACATCTTTATGTGATTCTAAACTTGTATCTGAAGAAAACAGGATAACAAAAACACATAGTGCACTTAGCTTTTAAGGCAATTTCTAATTGAGTTCCTAGCTGAGGCCTCAGAACCAAAGAATATGTCAAAATCAAATCTGACAGCATTGTACGAGGAGCACATACGATAAAGTGGACAGTGTTGACCAAGATTCGTCTTACAATTAGGAAGCGAGAAAGTTTTACGATTATGTAGGCGGCTACCGGGACGGTGGATTGAAAGGCGCAAACTCTCAAGGATATCAGGTGCGTCTATAAAACCATGAATAAGTTTGAATAAAAACATCAAATCAAGGGCTTTTCGACGCTTTTGGAGTGAGGACATTTTAAAGTAAGAGAGACGCGACTCATAAGAGAAAAGCTGTTTAGACTTTAAATTATTAAACGTTAGATGATAGAGAAAACGTTTTTGAATACGTTCAATTCTATCAGAATGAACCTGATAACCTGGGTTCCAGACAGTGGAACAGTATTCCAAAATACTTCGTATTAAGCTGTTGTATATTAAAATGGATATTGTGGGTTCGTTAAAAATTTTCATTTGCCTGGATACAAAACCAGTCAACCTTGAAGCTTTACTGGTAATTAAGTCTACATGATTACGAAAACTTAAGGTAGCGTACATGACGACTCCCAAGTCCCGAATCGAAGTAACCTCCGATAAGGGTATGTGGTCAATAAAATAAGTGACTGCTAAAGGCCTCCGGCGCCTGGTAAACTTAATGTGTTGGCATTTATTTGTGTTCAGCATCATAGCATTATTACAACACCACAGATGGACTCTGTCAAGATCGTCCTGAAGTAACTGGACATCACCAGGCGAGTCAATAGCTCTGTAAAGCTTCAGGTCGTCAGCATACATTTTGAATTTAGAATGCAATGAAAAAGTAATGTCGTTGACGAACATCAGAAAAAATAGGGGACCTAGATGGGAGCCCTGGGGCACACCGGATGGCACTGCTATCACTTCGGACCTAAAGCCACAAACCGTAACCAGCTGAGATCTATTGCGTAGGTAAGATTCACACCATCTTAACAGCGAACCGTGAATTCCCATCTGTTCCATCTTGTCAAGAAGAATGTCATGATGCACTTTCTTGCACTATTACGTTACCATAACGAAAATGCTAACGCGAAACTGTTATCTATGATTCTATTGATAGAATCCAGAATTCAAATAATTACACATGTTTATTATGTATTTATATCGATATGATATCACATTTTTCATTAATTCACTAACCAGAGTAATATTGAAGATTTATCGAGTTCTTAGGTTTTCGCGATTGTTACACATAGGAAATGAAACTAGTTTTCCGGATTTAAATCGCGTATATTTGTTTTTTCAAACAAACCGACGTTTCGGGCCCTTTACAGGTCCCATGGTCACGGTTGACTGAGGTGGTATAGTCTTCAACCAGTTATGTCTAATATTAATGCAAACCACCCTATTTTTTCACTATAGTTACAATAGTTATTAATTAAATGCCTTATTTTTAATAATTCTTACAGGATGCAGGAGTTTACAAGCTTGACTGTGAGTGCGGTCTCTCTTATATTGGATAAACAAAGCGAAGTAATTGTACCCGAGTTAAAGAACATATAGCTGATGTCAAACACCGTCGCGTAAACAAGTCTGCAGTCTGCGAGCATGTCATGGATAAACCTACACGTTCAATGAAGTTTGACAAACCACAGGTCCTTGCAAAAGAAGTCCGTTATCTGCCCAGGATGCTGCGAGAGGCCATTGAAATTAAAAAACATCCTAATTTCAACAGGGAAGATGGTTTCTCCGTACTACCAGTTTGGGATCCAGTATTTTCTCTAATGGAAAATCCCAAACAGACATAAGACTGCAGTACTAATTAATATGTTTTAGTTTATTCTAATTTCTATTATTAATTAATAATAAATTGAACTTAATAAAAATTCATTCAATAAAATAATTTATAAAACTTAATGTAGCGTACATTGGAATGTTTTCTTTGTAAAATTAAAAATAAGGTATTTAATTAATAACTATTGTAACTATAGTGAAAAAATAGGGTGGTTTGCATTAATATTAGACATAACTGGTTGAAGACTGTACCACCTCAGTCAACCGTGACCATGAGACCTGTAAAGGGCCAGAAACGTCGGTTTGTTTGAAAAAACAAATATACGCGATTTAAATCCGGAAATATAGTTTCATTTCCTATTGAAGATTTATTTAAATATATATTAAAAGCTCTTAAAATGTTATATTTTGGACATGTACTTTTAAATAAGGTAACCAAGGTATTTGAAATTGCGTATCCAAGTTGATCATCATTATTTGCAACGCTGCCAGCGTCTTGGGCACCTTACCGCGGGAACCCAATTTTATTAATATAATTTAAAAATTCTAGTCTTACATTCTAGTAGTTAAGTTTTTATTGTCTTTTTTACCTTACCTGTATATTATCTTAAAATAAAACTAATTATCTGTTAATAATTAGGTATATTCACTACTTACGTAATATTTATCGGCAATACGAATTGAAAATTCGAGAATCCTTGTCTACGACGTCATGGCGCTTTAGTATATTGATATAGTAAATCTGTATTTTTTATACATACATATATTACTCTGCAGTAAATAAATGAAGAAAACAATAACTGAATGAGTCCCAGACATAAGTTTTTTTTGTTTACTTCGTTTCATCTTTCGGAAAATGATGATAAACAGCCGTACACAGCACAATGCACGACCATTATAAATAGTAACGTAAAATTATATTTCACGTTAACGTACAAGTTTCGTAATGAATAAATGAAAACTATATTCAAATATCAAAGCCGTCTTCGCGCGAAAACGGCTGGCCGGCAGCCTTCTTGTCGTTCAGTCAATGTGACCGGCCATGTGCGGGGCGTGATGCGGTATCGAAAGCTAGGGAGAGGTGGAGAGTGTCCGTTCTTTTTACTTTTTGTCCTCTGGTTGGGGATAAAACATAAAATTGTTGCTCTGAAGTTTTGGCAACTTTGAAAGAAATAAATAGAATAGAATTGTTTATTTCAGGCACAGACCCATGTAATGTGTTAGCAACATTTTCACTTAGAATTGGTTAGTATATAGAACACAATATAAACAAATATTATTTATTTAATTCATATAAAAACAGATTTGATTTGCCCAACCCAGTACTTTATAATTGGACAGTCAAATCTGCCTATAACCATTTTTGGATGCTGTTGTGGCTACTTCTGTCACGAATAATAACGATAGTTACGATAAAGCTAACGTAATATTCATATTTAAATCGTGTTCAAATAAAATGAAAAGGCTACTAAATTTACGCTTTTGTAGTTCAATTGTTTTCATATTATTATTATTAATATTTTCTTCTTTCTCAGCCTGTTGGCTAGTTTGAACCACACTATTATTATTATGTTCTCCTTTATTTTTCTCAACCAGTTGGCTTGTTTGAACCACACTTACGGATCGAAATGAAGTAAATGCAGTAAGGCGTGTGTCTATGTGGAGGGTGGGCAATAAAGGCCTACTTCGTCCTCTTCCATCTGCAAGAACCTTCTGATAATGCGACAAGTATTAAGGATGGCTGCTTTTTATCAGAGGTGATATTATGGTGGTAGGTTCAAGAAATGCAATGAATGGTGTAGATATTTCAACTATAGGCGTTATTCCCAAACAGCGAAGAACGCCTGTGGTTATAATAACTATTGGTACTATCACTACGTTCTTCAAATGCCAGATTCGGGTTGTTTCCTCTTTTAATTCAGGGTATTTAGAGAGTTTTTTGCTATTGTAGACTGTAAATTGTGTTTGGTACGGCAATGTTTATTAAGGATCCGGTTATGTTTATTATTATTATTATGTATTCGCTATAAAAACAAACATGGATGCAGCTAAATTCGTGTAATTTTTTTCAACCTGGTATACTGAAGATGCTGGTTCGAAACCATCCGGATTCGAAGGAATGTTTCTTAGTTTTCGATCTTTGTAGTAATAATTATAACAAACTAGTGGAGTAATTGCAAAAAAAATAATAATATGGT